GACTTCCTGCTAGCAAAGCGGATCATCCCAGAAGCCATGGTCGACAAGATGAAGGACCGGTGAAGCATTGCCGATGTACAGCTCTCTTGCTTGTAAGCGATAGATGTCAGCCAGCTACTAAGTATTCGGTGCATGCATCGGAGATGGTTCTTGTTTCTTCTGGGCTCCTGAGAGATTTTATGCCTTCGCCGAGCTGCGTGGCCCCGAGTTTGGGGGCACCCGAACACCACGACTTCCGACACTGCATTCAGGTTGGTGCTCAGTTTATTTTTATTTTTATTTTTAGGGTATATGCGAGGACACGATCCTCTCCAGGGAAGGGCACGTTATCCCTTCAACCCAGGTGGCTGCAGGGCTTTTTATCCATCGCTGTTTCAGCAATGGGTGATGTCCCAAATTAATGAGCTGTATGACGTTCGCCCCGGATATGGTTGTTTGGGGATGCGCCCGAGTCTGGGGTGCAAGAGGAATTGGACAACTTGCTTTTGCTTGCTACATAAACCATGCGTTATTTGTTGATTCTGCCAGCAATTTCAAAAAGGAGCATATACATTTCATGAATTTCCCCAGCCCCATGTTCGACTCATTTCTTCAGAAATCTCTCCCAAGCAGAGCACGTAAGTTTGCAGAATCGCGCTGTTATGACTCTCTATTCATATACGTACATGTTTTGGACTTTGCAGATCGAATATTGAACAAATCATATCAAGCTTTGAATGTGGCATGAGCTCACCCATGAGTTGCTGAGTCGCTGAGTTATAGGTGCAGGTGTGTGTGTGTGTGTGCGTGGTGTGAGGGATCCGCATTTGGTTGATGGAAGCCGAAAGAAAGCCTACCATTTGGGGGTTCGCGTTTGAGACAAAACCCACACAAGTTGACCAACTTGGTGACCCTTGCTCGGGACAAATACGCAAAACCTTACCCAGAGCCAGTCATCTTTTGGTCTGATATTCTGAGCTTTGAGAAATGTGCGGAAGGGATGGGGGGGGCCCCAAAAAAGGATCGTTCCCCAAGCATTTCTCTTCATGGATGCAATTCGCCCAGGTGGCCTCCCCAACAGCAACCCCAACCCGAAGCCCATGGGCAAAGGCCCGGGAGAAAGGACATCTTGAGATCCTGGGTAGGCCTAGCATACATGTTACATTTGGCCAGTGACTCAAAGAGAAGCAAACGATAAAACATACATCCTACAACTGGGCCTAGCTCTAATCATGGGCGGAACGTCGCCGCAGTCGCTTTGGAGCCGCTGGCAGGACTTCCGGCCTTTGAACGTGGGCTGGGCGAAGGGCACGATTCAGTACGGCACAGGCCTCATGATTCAGCCCCTTGGCCTCAAGCCCCTTGGCCTGAAAGAACAACAACTGCGCTGGTGAAAGAACGCATTTCTGCTTCTTTCTTGGTATGAGTTGCCAAGCATGAGCACTGAGTTGAAGGGAACCACAAGAGCAGACGTGTTTAGTTGGCCGCAAACCACCCCCAAAGCAATGCCTCCAACGGCTTTCCGTTTCAAGCCTACGAGGAGTGGTCTATGCAAGTGTCACCTTTTGTGGCATAATGGAACAAGGGGCACTCAGTTGCAATATAGAAATAACAGCAGGTCACAAAGGGCAGAAGGTTTGAGGACTGTAGCTCGAGGAGAGCGGCCATGTAGCTCCAGTTAGCTCCATGTTCTGTTGGGATGACCGGATACATACGACTGGGGGAACCGCAAGCCGAAGTCTGGAGGTAAGGGAAGATGCGCCAGGTAACCCCCAATGCCAACCTCAAAATACCAACCCTGGCCACACCAAACTTCAGAAAACCGCACCTAACCGCGGGAAAGCGTCTCAACATGAGCTGTTTAGGGTCCAACTTGGAGCAGGGGTTGGACTGTTTAGCCATGTTGTGGGTTTACAAGGAAGTCTGGTTTGTTTGGCTTTCCGACTTGGCCACTTCCCCGACAAAAACCACCTTAGCTTCAACGAGGCCTGCAAAACCCTTCCGCGCAAAACCATTTTTCGGGCACTGTCTTCAAATCAGGGGGAACCCTCTCTCTCAGATGTCCCAGGTCAACACACACACACAAACCACGATTCTTGCTTTGAAACCTCGCCTTAGATGGCGTGGCTGTAGGTTGAAGCCAGAGGGAAGCTATGCATTTTGACGTGCTATCCGAAAAAGAAGACGACCCCGGCCAAAAAATCAAAGCAACCATCCCAAACCCCCAGCCAACCCGCAGACGCACATTTCTTCATCTTTGACATTGGGTCGACGTTTGGCACCATCTTTCATCTTTGCCCTTCACCGACACCATGATGGTACGGTGTTTTTCTCCTAGGTGGCTGGTTGAATGGGAACAGGAAAACGAAGACACCTTCCCCAGAATCAGCTCCCCTTTAAAAAGAAAAGAAATGGGGTCCGTTTGTTCTCCACTAACCAGGCAACAAAAATAAATAAATAAATATATATATATATATATATTTGCTGGGGTCCGATTTTTCCAGCCGAACGAGGCAGGCCAGCTGGAACGCCAGCTACCCCCCGGAGCTGGACAGCTGGGGCTCCTACGTGGGCCACGGCGGGGACACCTATGGCTTTTTGTCGGAGAGCGGCGTGCTCTCACAGCTCCTTGGAGACATTGGCCAGTGACCAATTCACGAGGGGTTGGGGAAAATGGTCCGAACAAACCGAAGGATCCCCAAATTGCGGGTCCCTTGCCCTTACCCTCCAATTAACCAGAAACATGGAACCTGACGTTCGGGGGTCCCTTTAGGAAAATGATCGTCTAGGACCCCCCCCTCTCAGGTTCCATGTTAATTGGTGGGAGGGTATCTTTGCATGTCAAAATCCTTTCAATGATGGACTGCACAAACCGAACGATCCCCAAATTGCCGAGGGTCCCTATAAGGTGCTCGAGTCTCAACATGAATGAAGGCAATTGTTCAGGCTTCTGGAGAACGACTCTTTGGCAGGTTTGGACCCGCTGACCCTTTTTCAAGAACCTGAGCGGTACCTGGAGGCGAAAAACATATAGTTCGTAACCGATGTGCTTAAGCTGATGCGTTGGGCTCTTCTGACGCAACGGCGCTTGGTATCATGAAAAATCGAGCTTACACTGCCACGTGTTTAGACAAACAAACAAGCAGGCATGCCGGGGCCGCAGGGACGTGGATATATTTCTCGAGGAATGGTTAGACATGGTGTCCCTTTTTTGGGAATCCTCGCACATCCTCGCTTCCCTGAAGGGAGGCCTAGGCCTCCGCTGGAGCCCCTGGCCCAGGGCAAGCTTCCAACGAAGGTTTGGAGTTCTTTTTGTTTGGATTCAAACAGCCATGGGCTCTTGTTGTGTGGGTTAGGTGTACAACCGTGGAAGGCTTTTTTGGTCTTGGGACATGTCTTTTCTGTATCTGTGGTGCGCGTTAATGGAATAGTTTGGGGGAACTGTTCCCTTTTTGAATCCTGCTGGCTGATTTCCAAGGAATCGAAGCTTTTGGAATCGAGCCAAGCATGAGGGTTCCCTCATAAGACAAAGCCATATTTGATGTCAGAAATCCCGGAAACTGCAAGGCGATATTTGAGCATTGCAAGGTGGGTCAGAAACTATATCATTGACTCACTGGCAATCTACCTTTGTAATGTTAGTCCTGCGTTTATACGATCCCTGCCTGGACAGTTCTTGGGCCTCCACACAAACAAGCTTGACATGAAAGCGCGCCTGAACTGTATCAGGGGCTCCTGTAGGGCACTCCCTTTGTGAAACTGGTTGGCACTGGTTGGCCTTGTTTTTAAGTAAAGGATTTATGTATAACGACGATTTGGAGACCATTTTAATTTAAGCCAGGCCTTGGGCAGGAAGGGCTTAGATCAGCCCCCCCTTGAACGCAAAATGGCTAAGGCTCCCGTGTTTGCTGCGTTTTTCAAACCACCAACCTAGTTAAAAGCGAACCTCGGGACAGTCGCAGGATTGAGAAGAGCGGAAGCCAAGTCCTGACAAACTCGCGGGACCAGGCTCCCAATCCATGTCCTGCGCAAGAAAGTTGGGCTCTGAGTTGAGGTTTAACGCCTCCTTCTCGGCCATCGCCAACCAGGCGGGTTGAGTGGGACCCCGAGCGGTTTTTTCATGTGCCGCAAGGCCATTTCCCACTGAGGCAAACCTGAAAGGTACATTTATTTGCATGCAAGGAGCCCGAACGGAATGACTCAAATGTCCTAGTTGTCCAGACCCTATATTCAGATTGTCACCCAATGAAACGGCGATGGCGTTTCTCTCTCACACATGGTTGGGACGAGTTGGTTGTTGTTGGAACGTGGCAGGAGTACTCGGGAACTTTTGTGAAGAACGTGATGGTGTGCAACATGATCAAACTGGCCGCCAAGATCTTGCTGGGCCAGGACGTATTCCTAAAGTCCGATCCTCGGGATGGATTGCCAAGGGGCTGGACAAGTGGGCACACACCCAAACGGCAAAATGGCTATGAATTTGCATGGGGAACACCATTCAGATTTCCATGCGGTTAGAAGATGCGTACTAAGAACCCCGCCCCCCATAAAAGATCATTTTACTGGATTCGGCCTGATGCCCCGACCCCACAAATGTCATTTGCCTTGGGTTTATTTGAAGGAGTGCAATTGCCGCTTTAGGTGGTTGCCAGATGCTATTAGCAAGGAGCTGAACGTATGGCCGATCGCTTGCAATGAGTGCCAATGTTCAAATCATGTATCCAGCTGGTACTCTAAGCAATGGTTTGGGTCACAGAGAGTGATGGGCCCCGCGGATTTTTCTAAAACCTCAGAGGCATAGCTATTTTGCCAACCAGTCCGAGTCCAATGTCCGGCGGCAAGTGGCGCCAAGGTGTGGTTTACGACCCTTTCATTCGACACTGGTGGTGTAGGGGCGCTTGGCCCCTTCACGACTGTGACTCGAAAGCGAAGCACGCGCGTGGAGAAATTGGAGAACTCAGCCGGATGTGTTTCGTACCTGAGATCGCTTGTGGTGCTGTTGCGTTACCCCCAAGGACCCCATCTATGATCAGACATTCTGCGAGCACTGAGCCACGGGCCCCTCTAACATGGAACACCTTGCGATCACTGAACCGAGGCTTTTTTTGTGGTTCCCACACACTCACCACACCTGGTCTATTTGTGTCTCTCTGTTTTTACCAGCGCAAGTGACCGTGCTTTAGCCGCTATGCCATGTACCCACGCATTTGGGCCTGCCTTTTGCTGCGACCGCCTTGCAACTTCCACTGCCCCGCTTTTGCCTCGGAAGCTAAGAGCAGTGGCTGCCAGGCGCTTGTGTCTTAGCGTCGCTTCTTCCGCCTGTATCATGCACCGCCTGCCACTTTTTGTTTAAATAACAGCGGGAAGGATTTGTTTCCTCTTCAGAACAGTGTTTTGTTAAGTAAAGAATCACCCCATGCGGTTTTTGTAAAACTCAACTGCCATGTGAATGTTGCCACTTGCGCGTTACAGCCGGGGGATTGCCTTAGACTTGGCCCTGGTGTTTTCCTAGCCTATTGCTTTGGTCTCCAAGAAGCCGGCCGTAAAGTCTAAACATTAATCCTTCCAAAAATGCACTTGACATGCCCCTGTCAGCATGCGCCAGGGTTTGAAAGTCTGCGTGAAACCGTGGCCGCGTGCTTTTTTGAGAGTGAGCCTATGGACCGCGGCCAGTTGCTCTAGCCTATTGTTGTTGCAACCAACCGGCAGGTTGCAAGCCAAGCTTTCAGGAAGAACTCGCAGATCGAGTCAAGCGAAGTTGCCTCCAAAAGGGCAACAGGAAAGTCGCACTGAAAACAAACGGCTCACCGGCGGTTCCATGGCGGCCATGGCCAACGTGCAGACGATCCGGAAGCTTCTGGCGCGGGTTTCGTTGAGCCGGGCCGGGGAAATGGGGTTCTCTAGTCTCAGTTGTTCAAAGCGAATCGACCTTTTGACCTTTTGGTTTTCCCGTTTTGGCAACCATATTTAGTCATGGCCCCAAAAGGTTGACCTTTTAGTTGCAGGTCCTTTGGGCAACTGAGTAGTGGTTGGAAGGGGGCCGTTCCGGAGCTGGGGGTACTCAGTCATGTCAGTTCAATGGATCGAAGTGATTTGAAGCACCCATAGGCGTCTTGCTCGACAGGTCGCCAAGGGACGCTAGTTGATGCAGGTCGCCACCCAGACGTACGTATCAGGACCCCCTCCAAAAGACAACGGATTTAGAGAGGGATCTTCAATTGGGACCCTTTTGGGATTTTCTGGCCTCGCTGCAAGCGAACCATTGTCGGTTCCCTTGTCCAAAGATTGGTGCATTTTCACCGATTCTTTGGAGGCAACACTGTCCAGGGTCTACCTTGAAAACAGCTTGAGGCTTCAGATTTTCAAGTTGCCCAAAATGGCTGGCAAGTGCCCTTTCAACAATCTGCAGGACCCCTCCAAAGTAACACGGATTTAGAGGGATCTTCATTTGGGCTGTTCGCCGCGGCCTTGGTTCTCTGAAACAACGATCCCCAGTTGGAAGCAGCTCGAAGGTGCGGATTTTCCGGCGTCCCGTTTTTTCGGCGGGTTGCGACGTGAAGGTTCCTTTCTTGAGAGTCCATGGCTTCTTTTGCGGTTGGTTATGTGTTTCAAATGTTTTTCCCAGTGAAAGCTTCCTTCTGATTGGTGATTTCGATTGGTTCGGGGGTTTGAACCCTTCCTTAAGCCAAATTGGGCAGGTACTCAACGTCCAAACCTCCAACCCCAAACAACCAATTCTCAGGTAACCCCTAATTGGTGGCTTGGATGACAATGAGTGGTGAGATCTGAAGCCCTGGTTCTTGTGGGCAAATGGGACACTACCCAACCACCAAACTACCGGTTCGACTCCAAACCACCCAGTAAAGGGAAGCTGACATTGGTGGGAAGCTGAGTTGTGTTTCTTTACCTTCCTCTTTTCCCCCAAAGAAAGCGGGTGTTGGTTCTTTCGGTTCTCCTCCTCCTCCCTTCAAACAGGCACCCACCGCTTTTCGGCTATTTGGTTGGATCTTTGGACTTTACTTTTTGGTTGGAACCGCTCGGATTTTCCGACTTGGACCCACGAAAAGTGATACGATGTGACTTGACACAGGCCAAGCCCATGGTGCGCAAAGCCGCGGTGCTCGCGGCCAAGGGTACGGCACCTTTGGCATCGCAAGTTAGTGGTCGGGTTTGGGTTTTAGTTGGTTTTGGCTTGGTGTTGGTTTTTGGTTGGTGTTTTTTTTTAGCTTTAAAGTTGCAGAGGCGGGAAATCGGCTCTGAGGGCTGGCCTTTGACCTGGGAAAGTGACTGGGGTCAAGTAAAACTCATGGCAAGTAGTCACGGGTCCTGATGGCAGGTTTCTTCATTTCTTGGGTAGGGTTGCTCAGGCAACACAGCTAAAAAGTAATTTGGAAGTTTTGGGCAAGCGGCAAAAGGAGAGCAGGACGGCTTAGGCAGGGGCAATTTGAAGCCGGCTGGTCGATGCTGGCTAATTTACTTTTTTCTGGAATCAACCGGTTTTGGCAAGCTCTTCAGGTTTCGGCAGTCCAACAGCGGTCATCACCTTGTATTTGCACGTTCTTGGCTGCGGGGAGGGGATTGCACGCTTGCTACTAAGCGAATTGGGTGGATCCAAGGGGAGAGCGTGACTTAGACCACCAGGCTCCCCAAAGCTCCTTCAAACCAACCCTAGATATGGGTATGGCTCAAAATTAAAGAGCTGGGGTTACGCGTAGTCTTTGGCTCTGTTTACCAGGGTGCCAATTTGGTACCATTTTGAGCCACAGCCATATGTGACCTGATGTCTCCCAAAGCCAGCGGAGCGGAGACATGTCAAGGTGCGATGGACGGGTCCGTGGGTGCGAAGCCTCAGGTTTCCCTCGTTTGCCTTTTTAGAGATGTCCGTTGCAAAGACGGCATCCCTTGCTGGTTCTCAGGGCAGGAGTCCCTTGTTTCCTTCCAGGGGCTCCAAACCCCCCTATGATTGTTAAGGGATCCTTCCTTCGTTATTTTGCCAGGAAACGCTTCACTAGCGATGTAGTTGGGTTTAGTTTCCAGCACCCAAGTCGCTAGGCGGGCGTGGGCGCTGGCGCGCTTGGCTTGGCGCTGGGCTTGCGGGAGATCAAGAAGCCGGGGGAATGGGTCGCGGGGATCTGGGGGCATCGCTTGCTCAGGGAATTGCCTGGTGTTGGGCAATCAAACCGCTAGAGACATAGGTGTCCTTTTTGGTTGTGGTCAAAAAATAGATGGCCGTGCCTTAACCATCTATCAGGGCCATCTACTTGGTTCAAAAGGACACCTATGGCTAGGGATGATTCATAGGGCTCATTCCCTCATTCCCTGAGAGCTAGCAAGGCTCGAACCGGGGGTGTTCATTGCAACCAGGTTGGGCAGGCAACCAAGGGATTGGATTGACGACAATTTGCAGCTCTCGTTTCTTTTAGTTTGGGGGGCCAACAAGTGACTGTTCCGAACGCTTTTTGCCGGAAAGCGTTCAATCTTTGTTTTGGGTCCTGGTGGGCTTCTCCCAGACACCAAAGCAACCAGCACAAGTCTTGTCTTGTTCTCCAAGCAGCGGCTTGGCAAGTGAGATTCGATTTGTTGGCAGCGGCGGAAAGACGCACAAGGACCCCTGCTCTTGGCTGTCAGCTTTAGGGTCACAGTTGTTTCTCCGTTTTCCATTCAACCACTAGAAGTTAAACTTTCAGCAGGGGAGCAGAAAGCAACCGAGGGTACCTCTCCGGGTTCATTTTGATCAGTTGATGGCAACCTGACCGTAGCCTCATGCGCTCTTCTTGGGTGACTCACTTGCCGTAAGGCAATCATGGACTGTGGTGAAATTTTGCGGCTGGGCCGACATGTAACCTCGTTCATGTTTGTCGTTTTACCCCAATGATCGGCATACTTAAGACTCAAGACCCAGTACTAGGGTTGAACTGTTTGGTAGCTTGGATTGGTGATGATTGGGGGGTTGGAACCCGAGTCCACAAGCCAAGTGGCCGGTACAGTCCCCCCCGCCGGGTCCAAACCAACAATCCAAATTATCAAGTAGGGGAAAGGTGCTGTCCCAGAATACTTTGGACAAAAAATTGGGCAACCACCCTGAAACATGATTATATTCAAGCAGCCTCCTTTGGGCTTCTGGAATCAAACCGGCTGATTCCGCTTATAAGCCAAGGGCTTGCCACCCTTTAAACTCAACAATGGCAAAAGGTCACCTATTATAGTGGCTTGGCTGGGATCCAGCGGGAAAGGAGCCGACCTGGGGGTTTTCCTATGGCACACTGGGATTACGCCCTCAGGGAATCACCCTACAGCATATCTCCAGATTATGTTGGTTTATTTTGGGCTGTTTGGGGTAGTTTTTCTAGGGTGTAATCCCAGGCAATAGGAAAATTATTCGCCAAACTACCCGAGGTCCCCCAGTAGTGCCCTTTTGCCCTTTTTTGGGGGGAGGGTCCCCCTAGCAAAATAGACTACAGCAAAAAGTTGGCACCCTTATTCTGACCTCTCTACTGGAGGACGTAGTACCATTGACCAAGATCATTTTTGGGTTGCCGATCTGGCATCGGCAGGCTGCAGCCAACACCTGTCGACCTCTGGAGCGAGGCATCGGTGGATGCACCGGACTCAGCGAGATTCTTCGGCGCGAGGCCATCAGACGTGAGGTTTGGGTCAATCGAATGGGACCTGCAAAGTGCCCCATTTTTCTAGGGGTAACTTCCATTTCCATTCTTTTCAGGGATGAACTTTCTAGAAAACCTCCGGAAACCCAGGGAAAACGGCCGGTTGTTGGAAAGAACGATGGTTGAAAAGACTGGGGAGTCACAGTCACCCCCTAGATTTTTTGAAGGTCACTCGAACATGCTTTTTGCTTTGTCCCTGTGCTGGTCTGCATTTAAAGGGAGAGAATTGCCACTGCCCAACTGCCACTGCTCTTTCCAGTGTCAACCGAAGGTACAGCACCGCTTGCGACTCGGCGCTTGCTATGAGGTGCGCTCCTGCAGCGCAGCGGCGGGGCCCTAAACCGGAGATGGAAACCCGGGGGTTCGGGGGCCAGGTTTTTTTTGTTTGTTTTGTTTTAGGTGTTCATTTCTCAGCTACCCAAAGCGAATCGACCTTTTAACCTTTTGGTTTTCCAGTTTTGGCAACCATGTTTAGTCATGGCTCCAAAAGGTTAACCTTTTATTTCTGGGTCGTTTGGGCAAGTGAGATTTGTTTGTGCTAAGTGGGAACCCCCTCTAAAGCGAGGAAAGTAATCGTGGGTTCAAAATCACTCCTTTCGCATACTCGGTGGTTTTCCTATTCGTGTACAGGTTGTGGATTCAAATTAGGCATCCCCCTTTTGAACAACCCAAGCAGGGGTCCCTTGCCCTCCTGCAGAGCATGGACATCTAAACGATGTTGATGTTATGTAGAGCGAGGCTCCAAACAGGTTTTCGGGGCAAGGGTCTTTCTTTTTCCAGAAAAGTTGCTATGACAGAACATGGCAGCCTCAAGAAAGTCTGCAGACATCATGGTGCCACATGATTGCCACCAAAGGCTCAGGCATGTCCCAATCGTTATTCCGGCCTTGACGGATTGGGGAACCTCGCTTTGAGAGTCCCGGTTAGCTGAAGCCTCACTTCGTTGCCGGCCGAGCTTTCTCTTCGTGATGTCGGGGATGGGATCACACGAGCCCCGACGAAAGAGCAGCGATGGATCCGACCTCTTGGCCTTCCAGGGTTTAGGCAAAGCAAGAGGTGATGATACTGACGAAATCCATGTCGCACCACTTTGAGACAAAGGGAAACCATTTGAAATGTTCAGAATGATTGAAGGGTTGCTTCCGTGGTGCAGGATTGCGTCCATCCGCAGTAGTTTAGGTTACATGAGAGGCCTTCTGCAGCCAAACATATAATCGCCCGCAAGCTGTGCCCAAAGCGCTACGCTGGCTCCAAGTTGTATCCTACGACACCTATGTGCAGGAAGCAGCCCATGGAATTCACGACCACGTCACCTGAAGGATGCATCCAAGTGGGCTCAAGTGCAAGGATTCCAGTACTTCACTCCAGGGGGTATCCTTTGTGTCCGAATGGGAAGGTGCTAATTACCTCATGTCAAATCTACCAGGATATCTCAGCATGCAGCTGTGGATAGAACCTAGGCCTGAAAACTTTTAGGGGTTGTTGCCCTTGAAGCCATGTCGAGGATACCTCAGGGACTAGGAATCAAGACGGTGTTCTTTCCAAGGGCCTTCTGCTGGCCATGAATTTATACAGGGAAGCTCAGAAGTGGGGGGCATGAATCCTCACCTACTCACTCCTTGAGTTCCTCGATCGTGGCTTCACAGCCACCCAGGGAGTGCGCCTAAATATGATGTCCACCATACCGTGGATGGACGAAGTCCTGCACTTTGAAGCCATGTTTGAAACCATTGTTTGTTGGCCTTTGCAGGGAAATCAAATCATCCCGGGGTTTTCGTCCAGGTGCGAAATGGATTTCGCAACCATCCACCAAACCTCCCCCAGCAGAAGATTCAGCGGCCCGCTCATGTTGGACCCTGGCGCGTGGCCACATGCCGCCGCACGACTGGCCCTGGCGCGTCGAGTGGAGCCTTCGCGCAGCCTTCACCACCTGCGTGTTCTGCGCGGCCCTTTGGCAAACATTTAAGCGACTTCCAGTCTATTCAATGGCTGCAGACTTAGTTTATATGTCACCCAGTGGGTCCCAGGCAAGCTATAGCGGGCAACCGACCATCTTTCCATTCTTGTGTTTAAAGGATGATTCAGTGCAAGCTTAGTTGACATGTTACCCAGTGAGCCCAGCAAGCCACTATAGTAGGTAACCAAGAGGGACACCATGATGTAAAAGCTGGAGGTAAGAAACCCTGGTTGCCCTACGCTTCTGGTAACTGGAAGCATTGGGCTAACTCAGTTTGGCCAGAAACCGTTGGGAATATTCGTTTTGAGTTTCAATGCTCATCTGAAGATATGGATGCTTTTTTTCCCCTTTGTTTGTGCTTTCAAAGGGAAACCAAAAAGACATGCACCTCTGATATTTGTCAAGACCATGCTGGCCTGGAGGTTTTTGCAACCGATACTTGAGGATGACTTAGCTTGAATTTGCCCACATTTCGGATTTTGTTGGAACTCCTCTTTCGTTAGTTTCATTTTGGGTTGAGGGAAGAAGCTGAGTAGAATCCCCCCCAGAAAACCGCCGCAAGAAGAGAGATGCATTGTCTTTTTGGGGGGGGTCCCCGATTTGGCGGGTCCACGCCAATCGGAGGTGACCTTCTCAACCGACCTATACGCCACGCTGAGCTTCATCGATGAAGCTCGGATACGAGAGCTGGTCCCAACGGCTGATGGGCATGCCCAAGTGTTAGGTCCTGTAAAGTGACATCCTCGAAATGTCCCTTGGAAATGGTAAAAAAAGGAGTTTCAAGAGCCGCTTGAATGGGTCAAGAATGGGCTCAGTCAAAGCTCCGAACCCAGTTCGGCGCTGTTGGTTGCTGGTTCGGAGGACCGGCATCCAATCGGCAGAGCTCCGGGGGGGCCCGGCATGGCGATCTTTTGCGCCATCCTGCTGAACGACGTGAACTTTGGGCGGACGGCATCTCGACTGGCAAAAAGCGGTTTCGACGAGACTCGCCCTGCAGCAAACCCCTGTGTGTGTGTGTGGTTGAACGGTGAACTACGCAGGTTTAGTAGTTCTAGTCATTCACCCGGGTTAATGTTCACGTCGGAATCCGGTGGACCGTGCTAGGGGTGGCTCCTCTTTTAGCAAGGAAATTATCTATTTTAAGGAGTTCCTCTTCCTAGAAGAAGCTGACATTATGTAGTTATTTGTCCCTAGGCTCTCGGCGGAGAGTGACAAGGCATGTGCATGCGACCAGAAAGGCACACTTACTGAATCGGTTTTTGATGGTTACCCATCTGACTTGTCAGGGTCCTTTTAAGAATGCATATGGGTCAAAGAGATCTCCTGTCCCAGCTGATTTAGAATCCCCTGGCAAATCAGCTTGTTGGATGCCCGAAAGAAGCCCTGTTTGTGGTGGAAGTTGTCGGGCGCTCACATTCCAGGGTGTCCCAAATATCATTGGCCAATATGTTTTGAATCGAATACGTGATTTGTGGTGCCCTGACTATTGCATGCAGCTGGCTTGTCTCATTGGCATCTTTGGCATCAATGTTGGCATTGGGTACCTTGTTTGGCCTGATGTTTTGATGGAGGAAGTCACCCATTGCACGCTTGTTTGCATGTTTAGATTGTCCGATTTTTTTATCTGCTGCCTCTAGTAAGTGGGAGCCAACCAAAATAATATGTTCTGCTCACCTGCAAACAGTGGTGGTGTTCGGAATTCTCTACCCTACCGAAGAGGGGCAAAACCAGCAGAGAGACAGGGGCCTGTAGTTCGGGTACAACAAGTCAGGGAGTGATTTAACGCATTTGGTTCGGTCTGGAATGGTTTGCCTTTGTTTGCCTTGGGTGATGAAAAAGTCACCTGTTGGTGCCATTGTAAGCTTGATGCCCCCCGGACGTGTCACCAGCCCTGGCCCCTCCCCTCCCCCCACTCCCTCCCCTCCCCCTCTCCCCCACTCCCCCCCGTTCCCCCCCCCCTCCCCACTCCACCCCCCCCCTAACTGCAGGTTCTGAACTGCTGGGGATGCATGTGCACCAGCATCCCCACCATTCTACTGGTGTCCTTGGCCCTCTTGCCGGGCAAGAGCTATGGCCCTGCCATTGGGATTCCGGCACCCGGGATGCAACACAGAAGGCGGTTCGTGTGCTTGAAGTGCGTTTTGTGTGCGAGCGTGGTTTTGTTGGTTCTTTGGTTAGGTTTAAGAAATGTGTGCTAACGCGTAGTCTGAGTCAAAACTAAACGCATTCCTGACCCTTTCTTTGATCTCCGAGAGCCACTCACGCAGCTTATCAGCTGTTGGCTCGGGCGGCAACGTAATCGTAGCCACTTGTCATGAGGTTTGTCGTTGTTTGCAACATTCGACAGGAGAGCCCCTAACGGGGTGCATATGTATGTGCATGTGTACAAGCATAAGTCAATATAAATAAAGTCATATTTTTTGTATACATATATGTATATGTATGTATATAGTCAGGCCCGTTGATGAGAGGTTGCCTAAAATGTAGCTGTCAGAGGACACGTGCAAAACACCCTCCAAAAAAATAGACCGGGGTGTTTACTTCTTTCCTGCAGCATGTCCTGTCTCTTGAAAGCCGCTGGCCTGTCCAGCAACGCCTTGCGTATTTCCCTGCCGCGTCGAATGGGACATGTGTCGATTTGCGCGGCAAAGTTTGAGGTGATTTGCCTATCAACCTTCACCATCTCCATGCTGAACCTGCATCCTATGGGCAAGCGCCTGTCCATTTCTGTAGTGGCCCTGTGCCTCATCACATCGCCTGCAGAGGCGCAAGGGTGCTGCTTGTTGCAGACGGGGGCGTTCTTTAAAAGGTGCTGAGCACCGCAGCCATGCTGTGTTTTCAAATCTTCCAAACATCAAAAGCCTTAAGCACCCCTCAATGCATGGTTTGCACTCGTGGCTTCAGTTCCGTTGAGGTCAAATGGGGAAAGCCTTAGGCGCCTAAGCAAACCAAGCCGCAACTGGGTGGCTGGCCAGCGCTGTTCAGGGAAGGTGCTGGAGGACTCCTGTTGGGGCAGACCTTTGGTTTCCTCTGCATTTTCGCCACCCAACAAGTTCCCGGTTCAAGTGCCCGCTAGGAGTCAGGGGGAGGGGGGATGGGAATCCCACTTTGGCAGAAAGACTTCCACTACAGGTGTTGTAAAGCATTGCTTCCTTCTTTCTGAGCTGACCTCTTTTTTTCCCCCCTCCCTCGCCCCACCAACCCCCAAAGATTGAAATTTACTGGTGCTTTCCGAGTGGTTCCGTTAAAAGCTGACGCCCTCCACCAACCCCCTCCCGTCGGAGGAGCGCTTTTTTTCGGCTGACCTCTGTTTGTTTCCCCCCCTCCCCTTTCCCCGGCCCCAACACCCCCCCCGGGCGCTCAAAGTGGTGCTTGCCTGTCGCCTCCGTCTTGCCGGCTGGAGTGCGCTGCTGTAGGCCTGAGGAGAGCGCAGGGAAAAAATGCACAAAAACAAACCACCATCCCGCTCCCGGACCGCCGGAGGAGCTCTACTTGAAGCCCTTCTTCCTCTTGGCCGCGTGTTTGGTGGGCATGTGCTTCGCCTTCGTGGGGCTGCTGCTGCCTTGGCCCCGCTGTGCGGTGCAGGAGCTCAGGCACCGGATGGCGCCCGGGTCGGCCTGTTTTGGGTTGGGATGGGCGGCTCGTCCGTTCTTATAACATGGATTTGACCCCACAAAACGTTAAACCACCAAAAAGGGCACCATGAAAAAAGAGACACCTGTTTGGACCCACTCCCTTCCGACAAGAAATGATCTTTCGGGTTTCCAACAGTGGCATTGTTTGAACAAGAACCACCCAGCAAGGGGATGGGCAGCTCCGTCAAAAAAAAGAAAAGAAAAGTCACAGACCCCTGGACATGGGTGGGACCTCACCCTAAACATTTTGACTTCGCTGGTCCCAAGCGAATAGACTGGAGCTGACCTGTTGCTTTTCCCCCTTTGGCAACCACTTTCCGAGGTCCAGAAAAGTGAACAATTAATGTCTATACGTCGTTCTGGCAAGTGAGAGTGGAGAAGATTGCTAGTTTGCCAAGATATTCATGATTAAACGTGGCCTTAAGACCCATTATATTTATTCACCTAAGTCCTCCGTCTCCGGGTTATTTCTCTGTTTTCCCGTTCTCCGGGATATTTCCAGGAGACCATCTGAAAACTAGGAGTTTCCGGTGTTTCAAATGCAGGAATCAAAAAGCAGGAGTGGCTTGCAAAAGGCAGGAGTGAACATCAAAAGCTAGGAGTGGTTCTTGGGGGAAACAATTGGATTCAAGTCTTGTTGTCATTTTTCGTTGTTTGGGCGCGCAATTGTGCAACTCTGTACACTATCCCAGCAATTATGCAACTCTGCACTGGAGTGGGTATTCCAGTGCACTGATTTTACTACGCACACTCCGGACACTCCGTCTTTTTTTGATTTGCGGGAGTTTGCGGGCTTTTTGCGGGTGTTTTGCGCTGAGTTTCAGGTGTGGTGCTTTCCGGTTTTGCCAATTTGTCGCCCAAAGGCAATAATTCCGAATTCAGAATGATTCTGAATTCTGAATAAATAATTCTTATTCAGATGAACGATTCTGATTCAGGTGAATGATTCTGATTCAGAATATGTCAGAATTGGAGAGTTCCTTCCGTCAAGTACCGAATAATTGCGATTTCTAGGGGTTTCAGGTGTGCAAACCATTTCCAGAAGCGACAATCAATTTCTAGGAGTTTTACCTCAAAAACCAGGAGTTTGAAAACTCGGTGTTTTTTCACTGAGACCCTCAAACAACTGGTAGTCTCCAGATTTTACGTGAAATTTCCATGATTTGGAAGATCTAGGCAGGTACTTTCATGACAACAACAATCCGTTTGCACATACCCAAATTGTGGATTCCCAGCCATTTCTCGTCTGAAATCTCCAAGTGGTCGCTAACTGCACTCATTGGGCAGGCTATCCGTTTTTGTTCCTTCTTTTCTTTGTTTATTTGTTCTTCTTCTTTGTTTTCTCGCAAGTCCAAACGGAACGCCAACGGCTTGTTGGGGCTCCCTTTTGGCCTTTTGGGACCAAACATTCCATGCCAAAATAGGTTTGAATTTCGTGGAAGCGTTTTCTTTGTAGCATGGATGCACATGGCATCTATGGTTTTCTGGCTTTGCCATGGCGCTTTCTGTTCCATGAAAAGAACATAGCTTCCGTGATGCCAAGCGAATCCCCTTTAAGTCACGACGTATAGGCACGGCCCGTAGCACAGACAAGGATTGCAGGACCATGTTGGATCAACGGCAAGTTGGCCGTTTCCTTCTTTTGAAGTGTGGTCCTTTTTGTTTGTTGGGGATCAATCTTTCATTGCCCTGTAAGCCACCGTGTTTTCTCCGTGTCTTCCGCTTCTTCCAACCTTTTCTTGGGTCTTGGCTGGGCCAACCAAGACATCTTTTCATTGTTTGGATTTGGCACAAGGCATATACACAAAATTTTCAGGGCGATCCTAGTGTCTTCCTTCCCTTCCACCCATGGTTTTGGACAACTTCGGCGACCCTCCGCATGGCGGAAAATTCATCAAAACGGCCACGGTCCACCGGAGGGGATCTCGAACAAGAACTGCACCAAGAGGAGAAACAAAGAAGTTCCGCCTGGTGGGAGTTGCACCTTTTGCTTGTTCCTTTCAATAGGCCATTCTAGTGGTAATCAAATGTTTTCGACTTCTGGCCAATCCACTCAGGGAAGTGAGATACGTTACCACAGAAATATGGGTTGTGTCCTTTCGCGGGGGATGGTCGGAGTCAACTACTGGACAGAAACTTCATATTATTTCCACAAAGGTATTGGACCCGTTGTCCATCCCTCCGACGCCAACTGTCTGTGTATGCTTCGGGCGGTTTGTCCCTTGTTTGCTTTTTTGCTGGGTGGGTTTTCTCTCTCTCCCTCGGCTTGAAAGCCTCCCTTCCAGCAAACTATCACTTTCTTGAGGGATTGGTGTCGGGGTTGCCGGGCTTCTCAAGGGGGTGTCTTTAAGCACCACGCTTCAGTTGCCAATCAAAAATGCGTCAGTCTCCCGTGTGTCGTGGCTCAGCTTTCCAAGGCATACTGCGCCTGGTCCTTACACCAGGCCTGGTCTTGTTGAACCTGGCAACCTAAAAGCCCCGGCAAAATGGTGCCAATGAAAACCAGCTGTCTTCGCCCAGGCCACTTGTTTACCAAAATGGGTGGGAGGGGGCACAAAGGCCCATAGCCCTCCTTTCAAGGCCTATATGCTAATTGCTGGGGGCAATGTGCCCATAGATTGGATTATCTTTGGATTCTTCCACGGGGCTTTTGTTTGTCGGAGGGTACTCTTTTCGGGCGATTTTGTTGTGAAGGGAAGCCAATAGGAAAACCACAATTTAGCGTGCCGAGTCCAAAAAAGACAAGCCACCCATATAAGTGGACGGACCCCCGGCCCGTGGCAAGGAAGCCGTACACGTCCCACCATTTGCGTCTCACTCCCTGAGTGAGCCAGGAGGATCTCTTGGCCTAGGGAAATTAGCCACCCCTCACGCCCCTCACTGTTCTGGGTTTACAGAGATGGACACGTGCCTCGAAAGCCGATCGCTTCAACAGTTGCACGGCAATTATGTCATTCAGAGAGGGCGGATGGCACACTCCAACAGCCACATGATGGGCTTCTTAGGCCTCTAATGTTGCGCCACGTGGACCCTTTTACTTCCATGTGCTTAAACGTATGGTTTGTATTTTCATCTCTTGGTTTATAAGGGAATCTATCACTACTGGAAGTATTTTTATTTTTCAAGGGGGCTTAAGCAAATGGAAGTTTAAGGCATTCTCAGTTCTCTAAGCGTTGGGATGGAGGTTGTTCAGTTTGTTCAGTTTCGGGTTGTGAGGTTTGTGCCATGCCCTGGTCCGCGCAGGTCTGGCTTCTTGCTTCTCACATTTCGATGTACGCCACGCTTTAGGCTTTACCGCCAAAAGGGGGATCCGCCCCCAAACACCACTTCCCCTCCCCACCCCGTCTCCACCCCAACCCCCTTTCCCCTGCCAGCCCATTCCATGGACACTTGTGTTGCAGCCACACCAATACCCTAAATGAAGGAGGTTGCAAAATAGACCCCTTCAGTGTCCACAATATCCCTGTTTCCCTTTACCCCCCCCCAAAAAAAAACAAACAAACAGAGATCCTACACACCACTTCCCCTCCCCACCAAAAAAAAGAAACACCTCCAACCCCCCACCCCCCACCCCCCACCCCCACCCCCCCCCCCCCCGTTGCCAGGTGCTGCACGGCCTTCTGGAGGCCTTTGCCGGGGATGTCCGCGCGCGCTCCAAGACCAGCTGCGACCTGCGCTGCGCGGCGCTGGCCTTCCTGCAGAAGCCGCCCGGCTCCCGGCCTCGGGAACTCGGGCGGCTTCGGCGCGGGGAAACCAGTCGAAACGATCCGAGAATGGGTTGGGGAACTCTCCAAAAAAATGGGGAAGAAAGGAAAAACCGCATCATTCATCCAAATGCAGGTAGAACCCCTCTGAATTTTGGCGCTGTGGTTTTGTGGTTGGATGTGTTTTACTTGCAGTATTTAGCGCCCCTGGGACTCCTGCGCTAGCTTTTGCACAGTATGCGGGCCAGAAGGCGTACCCTTTTGATGTTCCTTCATGCTCCCTGTCAACTGGAAACATGTCAACTTGTTGCCAAAGTCTGACCCATTACAGTAGACCCTGTAGAGAGATTTTGATTGTTACTCACCCCCTTCAAAGATGGACTTGCTTGGGTGCTCAAGCCACTTAGTAAGTATAATGGTTATAACGGTGACGGTATCGCGCCAGTTACCCGAGTTAGAACCATGTTTATAACCTACTTACCTGACGTTGGTTGAGTATTCAAGTAGGGCAATGCACGCTTTGAACTCTCTGGGATCCACTGGTAGACGACCGAAGGAACCGCCTCCCAATTGGTGGAATTGGTGGGAAGCATCACGCAGAGCTAGGGAAAAATCGGCAAGAAAGCCTCGGCCTCAAGGGACTCTGAGGAGTTTCCCGAGGTGTGAGTTTGAGACTGATCTATTTTGGGTTCTTTTATTGCCACGATTCATTAGAACTGAACTCAAGTCACAGGCTTGAAGTTGGCGAAGTTGAGCCGCAACCTAGATCATTGCAGGATGCGTTGTCTGGTTGGCAAAAAAAACGGGTTGTTCGTTGATAGGGTTAGCGCCTGCCGTTGCACTTTGCAGGTGCACAGTTGCGCATCTGCTTCAGGCTTCGGACTCTTGAATCATGAAGCCGCAAGGTCGGGTCTTCAGGTCCGCAAAGCGGCAACTGGCCGCATCCGTGATGACGATTCAACGACTTCCGCTGACCCCCAGCCCAAACCCTCAAGAATTATGACAGTCGAGCCTTAGGGCTTGTTCACCTCCCATCCTTCTGGGGTATGTTCGGGGGTCTGCTGGTAGAACCTTTCAACGATGTTTTTGGGGAATAGTTATTTTTGTGTCTAGATGGTAGGTCATGGAGCAGTTTTGCGGATGTACGCTAGTCTTAGGGTGGCTCACAGCAGATAGCAGCTGAGGAACATGTTCTTCTGCAACACCCGGCTGTTCGAGGCCAGGTTTGGTCACCGGCGTTCCCGCGCCATCAATGAGCACGCCATCCTTCTGAAAGCTCTGGATGAGATGCTGCTTAGCGAGCCTTGTTCGTGACAAGTGGCGTGGAATGATGTTGCTTTGTCCCAGTTTCTGCCATACTCCTGCGGAATTCACACACGGAAAGCACGCTAGCCGACCCGATGGAGTTTGACCTGGGTAAGGGCAATCAGCCAAAGGGCCAAGTGGAGTCCGGAGGAGCTTGGAATGAAGCGGAAGCCCCTTGTACCCGTCTCTTTGAACCTTGGGCATTCAACTTGTTTCGGACAGAAGCAGAAACACCTTATTGTTTGTTGTGATACCCTTCAAACACATTAAAAAGAAATGCGGTATTGATTTAGCAAATCTCTTTCAAGCTTGTTGAACATTTCACTTGTCAAGGGAACCTCCTTTTCTGACACCGTGGTCTGCCAAGTGTAGAGTACATACATTTCAGGATTGCTGCAGACAAGCAGGAGCGTTTTACAAACCAGCAGGAACGACAAGTAAATGCCCGTTGCACAGCGGCAAATTGGGTAGAAACAACCAAGCACTTTGTCCACGGGGAAGAGCCACCCAGTTGAGTGGGTCTTTGGCCTTTGCGATTGGCATGGCTGCTAGTCTAAGGCACTCGTCATGAACGACGTCCTGAGCAGTGTAGATTGGAGCGCCAGCGATCTCTACGACAGGACCGCTTCTCTAGCGCACCAAAACCATCTCGTTGAGGAGGGGCCTGGGAAAAAATAACACACAATTTCAGCCACAACAAGCCAGGGAGCTCCCTCCGTTTCCCAAGTCCCTTTTCCCTAGGCGGCGCTAGGCGTTCTTGTTTTGTTTTTTGGTGGGGGGGAGGTGAATTCAGCATCATCTCTTTTGGGGTATCTATGGCAGAGTCGCTCAGGGCAGGTGTGGGGGTTCCTTTTGTTCCCTAGGTGGATGCCCCAAATATTGCAAGTCATTTGACCACAGCCAACCACAAAACCATGGGTAAAACACAGCTCACATTCGCTTTGTTCCCTTTGAAAAACATATTTAGGGTATCAACTATACCCTCAAAAAAGGGATGCACCCCTCAATACTGTGGATGGACGAAGTCCTGCACCACCTAAGAAGCCCTGGAATGGTCTGATTTCCTGTAAATACTGTCAAAAAGTGGTTTCCCATGGTTTCAAAGTGGTGCAGGATTTCGTCCATCCACAGTAGTTCAACTCGCAACATTGGCCCAGGATCATGGAGACCTGTGGGGATGAGCAAAAGACCTTGCTGCGGAAGGTGAACCGCTGCTTCGGCTTTCTGGTGCAGCATGACTTTGATGAGGACTCGGCGCGTTGCGCCCACCTGCCCCAAGGCATTGCCACCCCAAAAGGATAGGTTTCATTTGAGTTCCCTTCAACCCGCCAAGGGGATGAATTGCCAAAAGAAGTAGGGGACTCCAAAAGGATAGGTTTCATTTGATTTCCCTTCCACACCCCAAAGAGGGGATACCCGAAGAAGCCTTGACAAGCATGGGAAAGGGTACCCTCAAAGACAGACACCAGCATGAATAGCCCATGTGTCAGGTGTGCACTACGAGCGCCCAGCTAAGTCTCAAGGGGGGTCAAGCATGAGCCCAAAGAACCACCAAGACTCATGGGGCATTTTGGGGTTAAGCAGCTTAAGGTCTCGCGTGTTGCGAGTGTACCTGATCGGGAAAGAGCCCAGATTTTGGGGGCCCTGGGATTCCGACGGTAAAGCCTGGGTCGGAAAAGCCTGGTCGGCAAAAGGGTACCCCCCTTTTCAGTTTCTTTTCGCTTCCGCTTGAATGGGCCAGGCTTGAACCTGGGGTGGAACTGAGGTGTTAGTTGGGCAGAAGCTTTCCCAACAATCAACCCTAGTATTGGTGCTGTATTCGGACATCGGGAAAAATATTTGGGGAATCTCAGGTTCTGACTTGCTTCGTCCGCATTCGGTCCCTTCGACATTTTGCGCCTGGATGGGTGGGCCCCTGCGCTTCGCACAGACTTGAGACAGCCTTTTTACTTTCCTCAAATCAGTGGACTTAAGTTCCTGAGGCAAAGCGCAGGGGCAGAAAGTTGCCATTTGGGGCTTGCTGAGAACATTTGGTTGCTCTTGGGTTGGACCTTTCCTGAAGTATGTGCTTTGAACATGCGTGTTTTGCCTGTGGGCAACTGCCAGACTGGCAAGGACATCCTCCTGCATTTGTTCTTCGTCTGTTTCGGGGTCACCATTGGGATCCCGCCTGCCATGCTCGAAATTGGACACGCGTAAGGGGCAACCCAGGCGCCCGAAACCCCCTTCTTTTCCAGAGGGCTGCCTACCCAGCCGGCACAAAGGCTGCGGCCCTGTGAAAATTCCCAGCACCTGACTTGCAGTCACACAGCTGCAGTTTTCGTCTTGACCTCAAGCCCCTTTTTGGCTTGTTGCTGTGCGGTTTTCCAAGGTTGGGGTCTCCAAAGTGTTTTTTCCCTGTGATGTTCAGGTCCTCAAACTGCTCCAAGGCTCCGTTTGAGTAGGGCCAGGCACAGACATGGGTGTGGCTTTGTTTACTCGGGAGCCTTTTTGGTGCACATCATTTAGGTGCTTTATGTCCACCAATCACTGACAAGGTTCCCGTTTTTGCTTAAAACAATTAGCCAAATGAATCAATTCTGAACTTCAGTCCGCTCAGACATGTGGTGAACTTGTAGCTGGCTCACGAGCTGATATTTGTTGAGCTGGACGATGGACAGCGCCTTCCTTTCAGCATAGTTTGAATTTCACACTGCTGCGTCGCTTGTTTTTGGGTGGATTCTGCTTTCATGGTATTCCGGGTATTCCAATTGTTTTTGTTTGTTAATATCATGGTTCTATTCTTAGTTCCTGATGTTCGTGGCGCGGAGTTTCGAAGAGATCAACGCGCAGGACTTTCTTTAGGGTATACATGCTGATTTAACCTGCAGAAGGCACACACACACACATTTCTCTGAATAGTATAAACACGTGTTATCGGTTTGGCGAAGATTGCATGGCCCTGTGGCCCACGTAGCCCCATTGTATGATGGACACTGAACCGATCTATTTTGCAACCTCTGTTTTTTCCAGGTTTCCAGGCTGCAACGTAGAGTCCAAGTGTCCATGGCACCACAAAGTCATCAATTGTCTGTCAGGAGGCGCTTTTTCAACAACCTTCTCCTCCGTCATTCCATCACCTTGCTTGCGAGAAGGCAACCCCCCCCCCCATCTCCCGAGTGGTGCCCAGCACCCCCCCCCCCAAGGCGCCCCCTCTCCACTTCGGTAGGACGAGGCTTCCGCCTGCGCAGCGCACCTGCTGGAAGCCCGGCGCGCCTGGGAGGCCCGGTACTCCGAGGCCCGCTTCAGGCGGGGCGCGAGAGGGAGAGTGGTGGGCGGCGCCCCCAAACAGGGAAACGTAGACATGGGCGTCCTTAGAAGTACTGGTTTAGATGGATTTGATTCCATTTACCAGGGCCATCTATTTTTCCAAAAGGACACCTAGGCTTGTAGATTTTGTTTTGGTTGGAACCCCCCCCTCCAATAGGGCAAGCTCCATTTGTGTGCGCCTTGAAGGTTGGACTGCGCAATCAGCTGGATTTCGATGTTCCTTTTGGTTTTCCTTCTGGCTTTTAGTGGAACACCAAAAGGAGAATCAAACTCCATTTCAGGATTGGGGGGTCCAACCTTAAACGCATAATAATAATACAATTTAATGCCCAGGCCATTATGCTGAGTTCAAAGCCAACCGTTTGACCGTTTGGCGTTGCCCGGGTCCCGAAAGGTCCGCCTTACTGTGAGGGTTTCCTGATTTTCTGGTAAAAAGTACCCGTTTTGAAATGGGAACCAAAGGGAAGACACGCCCATTTCTGGAAGGTTCGGTCCCAGCCTGGCTTCAGGAGGATTTCAACCTTTGCAGCCATCTTGGTAGAACCAAAAGTCAATGGGGTTAGGGCGCCGCTCTGTTCGGCGAAGTTGATGTTTGTTTGATATTTAAGTTGTAGTTAGTCACACCTTAGCTCATTCCATAATCACTGACTCATTCTATCCGAACACCCAGGCAAGTGGTTAATAACCTAGGCCAGAACCTACTTGCCGCGTGGCTAACTCCATTTTAACATGTTGCAACTGCTACCACTGACTTGCTTGGCCAACCACCGAGGCACGCGGCAGGAGTGGCTCCTGCGGATGAACATAATCCCCTTCGCACCGGTTCATAGGGCTTCATCCATCCCAAGTGGTGCAGCATGTTGTCCACGGTATGCTTCGTCTTAAGGAGACCCTGTGGTTCAGTGGCACGCTTGTTCCTTCTTTGTTTGGCAGGTTTTGTGAATCATTGAGCAGCACGGAGAGTAGCCTCCCGTGATCAGATCAGTTTCAAGAGAAACCATGGAAACAATGAGTTTAAAGGGGTCATTTTGGGTTCTGAAACGTACCTCGATCCAAATTGGCAGAGTTTCAATAACCTTCAGTATTTGGCACCCGCCTTTGGATAGGTCTGGGGAAATAATCGCGATTGACCTCACTTCCTGGATTTTGCTCCGCGTCCGGCTTCACGCGCGTTGAATCATCTCTCATTCCAGGCTGACGGATGACTGAAATTCACAAATGCCAGGTGGTAAAGGAAAACAAAGCCAAGCCGCAGTCTGAAGCAGTCCCCAATTGCGGAAGACCCATGCTTCAGGGTAGTTATGCGCTTCCCACTTGTCCGAGTGGGGGGGTGTCCTTCCTTTTGAGGAAAGTCCTTTGCATAGTTTTGCAGTTCTGCCTTTTGCCGGTGTGTCTCAACCTCTGTTGAACTCCGAACTGTGATATTAAATGGGGAGAAGAACAGGCTCCCTCAAAACGGGGGCTTCAAGTAGCAAATTGGCATAGAGCTGATGCAAACATGTGCAGGGGAAATATTGCTGTTCGAAATGACGGGCCGGCCATTCAATTTCCAAGTCCTATGTGGGAAACGCAACCGTCAGGATGAAGAATTGCCCTTGAACCGCCCATCATATTGCTCTGCCACCCTTTGGAGTTCCGCCAAACACGCGCTCAGACTTGAATTCCGAGCAATGATTTCCATCCACTGAACGGGAGAGGGGGCTGCCATGTTAGAACATCCGCAGGCAAAGACATATTTTGGCGAGTAACTCGGCTCTAGCCGCCTCACAGCATGAGGATGCTCTACGAGGGCAACACACGGCCCCACGCATTGTCCAAAGTGCTGGTCAGCGTCAACGCTTTCCTCTTTGAGGTTGACGTGCCTCAGCGCGGTTTTGGCAGTTGCAATGGTCAGGATTGGCAATTACTCAAACAGGTTTCAACTACTACCCTGCCTGCCACATCCTGCCACGAACGTAGCCCTTGAGATGGTACCTATTAGTGGGAGTATTTGGTTTCCAACCTCCTGTAGGTCTCCCTCGCACTACGTGGTCCAAGACATTTGGGCACCCACCTGGATGACAACCCTCCATGTTTGCCAGCCCACTAGAGGCGTCCCTCTCAACCCCTCAAGCTTTGGTTGTATTGCCACCAGCTTCGCATTCCACTCATTCCACTTGTATTGTAAGGCGAATGTGCTTCTCTGACACGGGTTGAAAAAGACCATTTCGGCCCGCGAAGGGCGCTGTCATTATGCAGGGGTCATAGTTGAGGAGTCTAGCGTCTGGCTTTGTAGGGATTCGTCGTTCTACCCTGGGCAAGACAAAGCAAAGAAGCTAATCTGCCCAATGCCGACCTTTCTTTCTTTCTTGAGCCACGTTTGAGTTCCGAGTTGCTTCAAGTGAGGAAGCCAAGCAAGACTCAACGGTTGAGGGAAGCTCGTTTCAGGGCCACTTTGTTCCCCTTTGAGGTGACATTGTCATTTGGGCATGGGTCAATGTTAAACGACCAGGGGACCGCAGGATTTGCTTCATGTTTCCATTTACCAGGGTTCCAGTTGGGGTACCTTTTTTTGACCCACTGCCATTTGGATGGCCTACTTGGTGCAGGCATTGTCGTAAGGGTTTGGCAGGCGGCCACCTTCAAAAGGCCGTCCGTCCAACGCGTAACATTCCTTGCGACTCACTACTCCAACACCTTAAAAGGAGTTGACTTCAAGTATGAGTATTCCAAGTGTGTGGTTTCCTTTTGGAGTCCCTTGAAACCCACTGCACAAGGTTACCCTCAACACAACCAGCAAAGGCATTTGCGCATACGCAACCTGTCAATCGTGGCTTGAGCTGGATGGTCCTAGATTGTTGAAATGTGTTAAAACACTCAACTATGACAGGGTTCAGTGCCTTATGCATCCCTCCCCAGACTTCCGCGGACAGGACTGAAGCTTCGTCACAAAGCGGTTCCCTGGTTTTTCGTTCTCGTGTTTTTCTCCGTGTCTTCGTGAATCTTACCGGGTTTGGATTTGCTTCGTGGTTTAGTGGGTGTTTTCCACTTATGCCCTCCACATAACTTGGGGCACTTCTCTTTGCACGAGGTGGTGATTCAGATCCTCTACCACCTCCTCGCAGAGAGCGCCGCGCGTCTTCCAAGGGCTCGGGCTCCGGCTCCGCCGGCTCCGCATCTGCCTGGCTTCCGACTCGCAGCAATCTATGGGTAACTCCCATGTCCATTCCGGGCTTCAGGGATCCTTCTTTCCAGAAAACCACCAAAAGCCCTGGAAAAATGGCTGGTTTTTGAAAAGAACGATGGCTGGAAAGAATGGAACGTCTAGAATCAAGTATGTGCAATAGCTCAAGGGGTGCTTGGTGCGCTTAGATCGTTGGCTTTGCGTAGCGTACCCCAGACAGAGTGCGCGAAGGAAGTCCCCGTCCTCGGCGGGGGGGGGAGGTTTACCAAGGCGCAATTGAACGGGGCACGCGTTTTGGGATGCTTAGACGTACAACCTCCCTTGGGTTTCTCAAAGCCTGTTCTCGCAGCGGCGCGAGAGGGCGCGAGCAAAGGATTTTTTGTTTCTTCAAAGTTTGTGTTGGGTGAGCAGCCTCGGTTTCGCGCTCATGCCGTTCTGGAAAGCGCTTGCGGCAAGCCGGCAGCATTCAAAGCTAATCAGGTTGGCAGGTCTGAAAGCAGATCTAGGCCCCGCGCAGTAGTGACTGATTTCTTTGGCACGCTGCCGTGGTGGTGACCACACCCGTTTTCATTCGTTGGTTTCCCACACATACAGCAACGGAACCTCTTTGTGGAGTGCATAAGCTTCCAGTGGGTTTGCATCCATTTCTGCGGCGACGAAAATGGACCCCTGCCCACGCCCGTCAACTGTGTTTTGTTCAGAGGACGTTTTTAGTGCTGGACGAAAAGGGAGGAAGCCACCTGACTTGCTAGGGAATGGGCTAGGGGCAGTGCTTGGAAGCCATGAAGTGGTGCAGCGAGCAAAGGAAGCCCAAGTTTAGAAGGCTTTTCGAACTGCAGGCATTCGAGCGGCAAAGGCACCAATCAAAGTTTAGCAAGTTTACCGCACGCAAGGCATAGAGACCTTGGGCAGCAGTAGGTAGCGAAAGGAGACGAAATAAACCTGGGTCACTGGGCTTACATCCCCCAGTCCGCACAGGACACTAACCCTGACCCTTGGCGTGGAGACATTGTAGCGCACCTCGCCATGTTAACCTTCCCTGCGATTGCGCAAAAGTGACTCACAGAGTGCATGGTGCCAAGCTTTACGAAGTTGATGTACTCTCGGTCGACTCCGGGTTGGAAGTTTGGGTTTGACGGCAGGTGTTCGTTGTTAGGCGCAGGTCCTTTGGCAGCGTTGCGCGTCGCGCGAGGGGGCTTGGCGGCTTTGACTCCGAGCAGCTGCGTTGACCATCCGGCCCTTGCACTTTGATGGTCTTAGATGCCCATTTCCTTGGCCGCATCGCAGCAGCGCCAGGCACAACGCGTCGCCAAGCCAAGATAAAGAGTTGAGATGAGATATACATGAAGGAGGAAGAGACAGGATTGTTAACTCTCACCCAATCTCATCCCATCTATGATTAGACAGTGAACCCAGAATTTCATGATGGACGAGCGGAAGGAAACACCATAAAAAGAGAGACGGTAAGATGGTGAACTCGCGAAGGGAGACAGCTATCATCTCTTTCCTTTCTCCTCTCTCCTCGTCAACGAGCGGACAGGCGATCTCCCTTCCCTCACTTCTCTTTGCCTGTCATCTATGGCGTCTCTAGGTGATCAAGGGTCGTCCCCTCACCTTCCACCTGAGGACAGGCTCATGGAGAAGAAGGCGGTTTTCGGTAAGCCGCTGCTTGACGACTTGTTCCCAGAGCAGCAGCACTTGAGGAAGTACGTTGCAGGTCCTCTCGATGCAGCCACGGGCTTAGTGTTCTGAGTTGAAAGGTGAGGTCTTGCACGCAGACGGTTGCACTTGGATTAAGCTCACGCGTGCCGATTGAATGGTTTGGCCTGCCAGGCCCAACCATGTCCAATCTTCCAATCTGGATCGGCCAAGTTGCCGTAGCTGTGATTGGCCCCGCCCCACTTCAAGGTGAGCTTGTGTTTTGTCCATTAGCATTGGGTTCTTTGGCCATCTGAGGAGGCAAGGAGGCACCTCATTGTTTCCGCAAAGTTGACGCTCGCAATGCTTCTGGCGACTTTGAGCCTCGGCTTGGGATCAGCCTCTTCTTGGGATGAGCCTCTTTAGGGCAAACTTCCTATGACACCGTTTGGCCTTGAAGCAATCGCATTTTATACAGTAGTTTTCGAGAATGCCCCCGGTTTGAGAACAGATTGCTGAAGGAACCCATGGTTAAATAGCGTTCAAAAGAGTTAAGGTGGATTTTCAGTTGTTTGGGGATGCTTGGGTTGACCCGATATTTTTGAATCATGCGCCGGCACTGCAAGGAAATGTGCTAGCCAGGTATGGTTTCTTCCTTCCCTTGGGGGAGGTCAACTTCTTGCCCGCTTACACAATTGCATACATCGGCGGTGGGCCCAGCATTTGCGAGCCGGTCAGGGTTGACATTTGACAGACAGAGCCAGCTTAGACCCAGACGCAGAGCCCAACGTTTTAAGATATTCGTTCACAACTGACTCATGGGGAAAACGCATGTCACCTTCGTGCCGCGAATTTCCCGCCCTTTGGTCCCTCAGTCACTCAAGGAGTGGAATCCACGGCCGGGTCCAACCTGACATTCTCCGTGATGCGATGCATCGGCACGTTGGCGGCCGCGATCTTCGCGGAGACCGTTGCAGCTTGCCGCATCATGCGGCAGGCCCCAATAAACAGAGAGGTTTTGAAATTTTGGTGCACAGTTATGACAGTTGCCCCTAAAAGGAAAGTCTTCCTGTGCACTTCCACAGTGGCTGGCGGGGGAGGGTACGAGTGTGGAGGGATAAGTGTGGGTCAAGTTTGGTTACGCCCTGCGCTGGGATGGGCAGGCCCCCCCTTCAAGGATCCCCTTAAAGCAACCCAAAGAAAACAAAACATCACATGGTCCACTTCGAGCTGAGGTGCTGGCATGTGTGTATGTCGAAGACGGCCTCGGGGAACTGCTTCTGGTCACTTGCGCGCTAACCCTCTTTATGATTCCCAGCGTGTGGGGAGCCCCGGCGCTCTCAGCCAGGTTTCTGTTTTTGGCAGGGGATTTGGAGTTATTTTATTTTAGGAGGGGATTCGTGGATTAGTGTGGACCCCCGAAGTTGACATCAGGCTGATTTGTTGATGTTGGTAGGTTCCTTTCTTGGTCCTTGATTGTTTTTTGCTGGCCAGTGAACTCAACTCAGTTCATGAGGGATGGTGGGATGGTGCCTTCTGCAAGTCTCATGCGCAAGGGCGCCAGGTTTGCGTGAAGGCGAACAAGTATTTTAATTTACATATACCTGCAAATGAACACTTCATTTTCTGGGTTCCATGTCAATCTGCCCGGAAGTGAAACCTGTGAGCTTTGCCACGTCGACCCAAGTTTGGGCCAACGGGTGTTGGTCAGGTAGGTTCAAAATATAGACGGATTCCACTGGGTTCACTTAGGTTTTGCATGTTCGGTGGGACCCGCCGATTTTCCACAAGGACAGTGTGGAAGGGCTAAAGCCCTTCGCAGAAGTTGGTGGGTGGTTTGTGCCAGTGTTCGTAGGCTTCACTTGGTGCGGCTGTCCATCCACAGCTTTGCCAGGTATGTCCGGTCTGCACCCTTCGTGTCTTATGGGGGCAGCACCGCAGCATTCACCGCCGGCATCCTGCTGCTTGGCGTTGGGGTGCGCCTATGTGGGCGCACTTGTTTAGTCTCAGGATCGCCGTTTCTGGGGTGGAGTTGAACCCCCCCCCAACAGGGAAAACACCCAGCGCCCCCCCCCCCCCCCTAAACAGCAGCATTTTTCTAAGTCCAAGATCAGAAGTACTGTCAAAACAGAGAGTGGTTGGGGGTGCTGGACCGTTTTAAGTTTGTAAGCCGTGCACCTATGTTGAGACAACCCGACACGATTGGTTTTTGGAAGGTAACCTATTCGGTGGGGTGGTTCCTGCACAAACCGCAAGAAGGCTGCAACTTCAGGGTTCTTACAATTTTAGGGGTGTGTCTTTTCAAAGTTGGACCACCACAATGGGTGGATTCTCTGTTGGTGTCCCTTTAAACCAACCAACAAGGGCTACCCTCAAAAAGACACCCCGTATGGCCATGATTTTGTAGCACCTGTCGGTGGATACCGTTTACATGCTTGGGCTTCTGTCCGCCCATTGGAGGTTTTCCCCATTCACAGTCATAGCTATGTGGGTGCCCTCCGAAACTTTTGGATTCTTGCAAAGGGTCGCCAAAGATAGATTAACCGACAGGAAGTTGAGCCTTCTTTCTTCTTTGTTTTGCCCACTGTATCTGGGCTTTCTCCCTGGAATGTCCGCTTCATAATTTCGACCATGCTTGATTTCCTTCAACGAGGACTGACCACAAGGGGATGAATGCCATTTCACTGTTCCCATATTAATGCATTCCCTCCGAATGGCGTGTTCGCCCTGTGGGCGTCCGCCGAACGGCCGAGCAGAAGGCTACAACAATTATCTTTGTTGGACGATGGTCTCCACTGCCCCCAAGCCACCCCAAAGGTGAATGGGGCATGGGGCATATCCCTTTCCTTTTTTGTGCGTGGTCCAATGGTTGCCATACCCTATTTTCCGACGGCTGTGGAAACAACCGCAAGCTGGCAAGAAAGAGCCAAGGCTGATAGATGCCCCACGTGGGTCTGAGTACATGAAGATGAACATCCCGGCCCGCGTTTATGACACCTGTGGCCGGACTTGATCCTTCAGATTGGGCCCAGCCACCCTGGAAGGACCTTCCAATGACTAGGGCTAGGTTCCCTGGCATCGCAGAACCGGAATGGAACTGCTAAGTTTTCCACACTGCCTACAGGGCACAAAGAAGGACAAAAATGGCTGCCCGGCAAACTTGCATGAACTCACAACGCGGGTCCCCCCAAAATCCTCCTGTGGAGATGAGACGGTTTTTGTTTGTCGTATAGCTTCACTTTTGTTGGCAAATTTTAGGTTTTAAGAAACAGCTCGGTTTTGAGTGGGAGTAACTTCACTGTTGACCAGTTTTTGAGATTGTTGTTTTTGCTTGGTTCTTTTTGAGTCGGGGCAATAAAGGCTTTTGCTACCATACCAAGCTTGCACGGGTCGCAAGTTAGTTCAACTTGTTGGGCCCAACCGCGCTGAAACAAGTCGGCCTTTGGCTGCGACCAAACGCGAGAAGAAGGACGTTGCACATGAAGGTGTAGAGTCCTCTACGACTCAGGTGATGGATGACCAAAAGGTTGTCCAATGCCAACCTTTTGACCCTTCCGTTCTCCCTTGCCGGTCTACTTTTTGGGCCCTCAAAGATTTCACCAAGTTTGTGAGAGGGGGGTAGCCGGGTAGCCCTTGTTTTCCAAGTCTATTGAACCCACTGCACCGAGGCGTAGGGGCCATGATCTTCATCCTCGTGGAGCTTTTTGTGCTGCCCGGCACGCCCCTCGCCGGATGAAGGAGGGCTCGGTGGTCTTTCTCGGCTCGGAACGGCGGTGGCAGTGAACCACAAGCAAAACACTGGAAAGGACCCGAATCAACAAATGAGTCTGCCCGACTTCTTGCGGGCTCAACATCATTCAACATCCCAACGACTCCAGCACCCCCACACCCCACCCTTGTGCTCTCCCGAAAAAACAGAACTGGCTCGTCCTTATCCAGACCCTTTCAAAGTCGATTTGTTGCAGTCAACGCTTCATGGCCCAGTTTTCAGGGCTCCCTGCAAGTTCAAACCATACTAGAGCAACTCGGGTGGTTTGCGAAGTGACTCCCGGGCCCGAGGACATCGGAGAAATCACTGGGCGCCAGTATTTATTGCCAGAGGGCTTCAATTCACGATTTGTGTTGGGCGTATGTGCACGGGTTCACTTGACTGCCCCCAGGGGGTTGAACCCATGAAGCCTTCAAATTCGCCCTGTTTTGGGACAGCTAAAATTTTCTCGCCCGATGTCATGGTTCAGCCACCCAAACACCAAGGGAAACGGCACCGGGTTTTGGCGCTTGTCTTCCTTGTCCTCCTTCTGGAGAAGCTTTTTGTCCTATGATTGTCAATGCCAAAAGGGCTACCCCAACCTCTTCCCAACCAGCAACCAGACCCAACTTTTGGCAATGCCTCGCCCTCGTCGGCTTCTCGAGCCGAAGCCGCAAGTTGACTCGCCCTTTTTCTCCGGAGAATTCCTTCCCTCCCGTTCTTTTCCACCCCGGTTTTTCCCAAGCTTGGCGCTGCAGCCATTGCGCCAAAAAACTCGATGATCGGAGGACTCCGTGAGCTCCTCTGATCATCCTGCAGCATGCCAATATAATGAAAAGATGTTCCCCACTTTCTCAGACATTGCCTAGGGCAGAACTTCCATGGCCTTGCTCGCCCGCGAGGTCTCAGCAGTTGATCTTCCCCAGGATCAAGGCATCCCTCAGGACGGATTCGAGTGATTGCAGCCGACCTTGGCTCTGGAAGTGCGTTGACAGCCGGCCAGCGAGTGCTTCAAGGTCTCCCTTCAGCTCAGTTTCCATGGCGCCTTTTCCAGGCCGACCTTTGCGTGTTGAGTTGGTGCCCTTTTGATGATGAAAACGTGAGACCGATCCCATTGTTTGGGGCTCCGTGAAAGACAAGCGCTTGTGGACCATGCGCACTTGTCCAAAGCGAATCAGCCTTTTGACTGCTCCCAAGCCCTTGGTTTCCCCCGTGTTGAAGTTTCATTTTCCAGCCACCTTCTATTTCCTTGGTGGTTCCCAGCCATCCGGTTCCTTAGCTTCTTAGCTTTTGAGGGCTTAGTGGTAGTTTCCATTTAACCCACGAAAGGTTATTCACTTTTAGCAGAACAATCCGATGGCAGCCCACGGCCCTGAGGACTGCCGCGAGCGACGTGGCCAGCTTTTCCCACAGCCTGACCCACGAGCTCAGCGCCAAGTCATCGAGTGACACTGCTGCTTGCCTCGACCATCCACCTTCTCACTTCCTGAAAGTTCATGAACTTTTAAACTTATAGTGGTAAATATCAAGTTTGGACTCTTCTTGGGCCATCCAATCAGCCAGTGAGTCCCTCAGGCTCACATGGGAGACTCTCACTGGACGAAACCCTGCACGGCTTTCAAACCATGGGAAGCCACTGTTCGTTGGTATTTACAGGGGAATCATCGGTCGCAGGATTGCTTCCATCCACAGTATCAGACTCATTTCCCCCAGCCGACCTATGGAATCGCCAGAGAGAGTATGCTCACTTGCTGCCTGTTTAGCACGTCGACCAGTTTTACAACCGGTTTTGTACAGTCTTGCAGGGCTGGGTGAGTCCAACATGTTCAAACAACCTGTTTCTTCAACAACCTTTCAGCGGGACTGGCCGGACTCTTCAACAAAGAACACCTTGCCCGGCCTTCGGCTGCAGTCGAGTGCACCTTGTCACCTTGGCGAGCCCCCAAAGGGGCCCGTAGGCGTGTCATGGCTCACAGGGGGTTGCACAGCCATCGCCCCACAACCAACTGAGATTCCTGTGGCTTAGCAAGCCCTAGAAACCATGGATTTGAAGTAGTGCTTCACTGGAGTGGATTCCACAAGTTGTCTCTTTGTGCCTTTTCAAAGTTGGACCACGAAGCTGGCTGAGTTACCCTTTTGGTTTCCCTTTAAAACCAACAGGGTAGCCTTCAAAACGAGGAGGCCGCACACGTGCGGCGGAACGGGTGGCCTTTTGACTCCAATCCGATCGGATGGAAGGCCAGCGAGTCGGATGGCGAGAGCCTCGAAGCGCGAGCGGACAGAGTGTTCCTGCTCCAGGCGGACCAAGGGGACTTGGCGAGCTGTGGTTCCATGGCCAACCTGGTTGAAAAAGGCGAACTGGACACCTGAAAAAGGAGAGGGAGGTTGAAATCAAGCGGCGTGGAAGAGGGGTTCCCTCAATTCGGCCTTTTTGGCACCTCCAAAAGAGGCGCTCGTTTCCATGGAAACCACCAGGTTGCAACTTTCCAAGACAGGGGAAAGGGAGCTCCGGTTTTGGGTCAAACGCTGAATGACGGGTCCATCAGTCCATCCAATGTATTTCCATTCTTTGATGCAAAACAGGTCACCCTGACATTTGCAGGTTTGGATTTGGGTTGGGGGGTTTGAACCACCAAATTTAAACCACCCGGCGACCGCGGGTTTGAGTCCTTGCTTCCACGTACCAGGGATCTAATTTGCGTGCCCTTTTGACCCACAGCCATTTGTTGGGCGTATTCAGTTGATATTGGCGGTCTTGTCGCATACCTCAGCCCCACATACAGCTTATGTTGGTTATATAGACACCTCCAATACCCATACCTGCAAACGCACTTGCTTGAGTTTACCGGGGCTCTTTTTTGTTTCTTTGAGGGTCAACAGGTGTCCTTTAACTTCCGAGATATCCATACCCCCAAACAAATTGAGCTCCCTTCAGGTCGACTGGCTTCCGGACACCTTTGAAACAGGCTTGCGGTTCGTTTTTGTTTGTTTTAACAACGAAAAAGGAAAGAAAGACATATTTTGCCGAAGTGCATCGTTCAATTCAAGGAACCCCTTTGCCACCAGCGTCACTGCGCGAGCACCCCCCGAACGGGTCCCGACTGCTCCAGGGCCTGCCCACCTACGCCCAGCGCTACGGCGCGGCATCCATGCAGGAGACCCTGCAGGCTCGCAGCGACTGAAAACGCTTGTTCGAACCTCAAGGGAATGGCTCATGTCTTTTTCTATAAATGCTGGAATGCTTGGATGCTGACTTTGCAGGACGGCAAGGGTGGGTGGCTTCATCCTCGATGGGAATGCGTTCCCAATCGACCCAGCGCCCTATAAATGCTTAATTTGTGTTTTTGTAGTTTTCATGTGTGTGTGTGTGTTGGTGTCTTTGCGTTGCTTGCATGGTGAGTGTATGGGAATTGGTGTTATTTAATTATTATTACGTGCGTGGCCGCTCGCAGACATCAGCTTGCCGCTATTTGGTGGGGACTGGAGATCGGTCCGATCTCAGCACAATTCCAAACCACCGTTGTGGTGAAGAAAGGTCGTCTTCTTTGGACCCATTTCTACCTCCTGATTCGTCTTTTGGGGAAGCTGGAAGGCAAATTGTCTGGAGGCCTTTTTCTACTTCCCGAAGCTTTCGGATCCCGGATTGGGATCCGAAGCGTCCATCCCTTCCCCCCGCGCTGCAAAGTCTTGCAAACAGAAGCCTTCAAGGCTGAAGGTTGATCCTAGCCTCGCCTGCTGAAGCTGAGAGTGAAGAGGCCCTCCAACAGATACCCCCCACATCAACTTCTGGGCTTCTAATCCGTTTTTACTCGTCAAGTGTCGCAACATGTTGGCTCAACGTCCAGCAATTGCCCATGGTTTCAAGCATCTTCTACAACCCAGTGATGCAAACCCAAATTCGGGCGCCGCTGGCCAGTTGACCCAACATGTTTTAGCTGGGGGGGGTGATCAGCCTCGGTTTCCCTGAGTGATCAACCTCGCTTTCCCTGAACCGAACGTGAGCCCCGAACTGTGGTAGCAGCCGCAGTGGTCACGACAAGAACCTGATGTCTGATGGATTGTGGCGAACTGGAATTCCATGGTAGATATATTGTATACTGCGGCGTGAGAGCAATGCAGCAAGGCTTTTCTGTCTATGGTCGAGTCTGCGTGCCTTGAGCCGCAATATCATGGTGAGCATGTTCGATAGCATGAAGGCCACCTGGTTCAAAACAGAACACACAACAGACACAACATTATTTGACCTTCAGCGTCGAATTGCTGTCTCGAGGCTCTATTCCGTAGCCACACATTTACAGCAGCCGTAGCCATTGAGAAAAACAATGAGATCGACTCCGAGCATGATCAAAAGGTGACTCTCAGGCATGTTGGGTTGCCTTTGTAGTTACATGAGTGTACAACTGTGCTCTAATTCGCACACATTCTTTCGTGGCGAGCAGCCTGAACAGCGCAACGATGAAATCCACGGGCAATCGCTGGCTGTAAACTCAACATGTTGCAACTGGGGGAAACGACAGGCGGTGCAAGCGACAAAGGGAAGGCCTACCCTCGCAGATCGCTTTTTTTGTATGTACCCAGTGCACCGTACAACCAAAGCAACTCCCAATCTACATGAGCCATACACAACTATATGGAGTTCACAGGATTGTTTTCCCAGAGGTGCAAATGCAGGGGCGCGCTCTCACAGGGCATGACAGTAGCTCTCTGAGAAACCCTGGAATGATTCGACCCCCTGCAAATACCAACCAGCCAATAGACCAGGTTAGACAAAAAACGGTGAACAAATCTACCGAATCGACAGAAAAAAAGTCAAAGAAATCGACAGGCTTTTGAAACAGAATCGACATGTCGACAGATGCAGTAATAGAATGGACCGAATTCATAGACATAGGTCTACGCAAAGTGTGGCAAAACTGCGGGCAACCTACGAGAAAAGTTCGGCTTTTTGTTTGTGATTTGCCTTGGCTGGGTAAGTTCGCCTCCGGGTGCAACAAGCTCTGCCCGGCACCCCGTTTTTGCGAACTGGCTGGCTGCTAGCCCAAAATGTTGCTTGCCAAATCACTTGCAAGCTGTAGGAAGACTTCAGGGAAAGTGCGGGGAAATTGCGGGTTTGGCTTGTCCGAAACTGCGACCTTTGGAAGCTGAGCAAGCAGCAGTTTTCAAGAAGTTTCGAGGAAACTTCGGGTTTCTTAGAAAGCATGAATTAAACCGAAATGTCTGCCTAACAGGCAGAATGAGTTTAGCCCAATTAGACTTTTTCCACGCCCGAAAGAAAAAACAAAAAGGGGAAAAAAAAGAAACGAAAACAACTACCGAATAGACAGCACAAGTTCTAACTTATCCGGTCTATTGGGCAACCTTATGGTTTCAAGCATGACTCGTTTTGTGGCGCGGAATTGGGTTGCAGTGCGCGGTTGGTCCCCCCCAAACCGTGGGCACGTCCAGAACAACAACGGCATGGAGCCGAACCTCTGGCGCGCCTCAGTGAACCCCAGCCTGCTGCAGCCCATCCTCACACAGGAGCCGGAGAAAAAATACCAGTGACATGCTTTTCTTGGCTTGGATCATTGGATCTTTAGACTGGGCCTCGCTTTTTGTCGGTTGAATTCAAGGGTTTTCCATGACACCCACGGAGAACCCGGACACATCTCGACGGAAACCAACATTTCTGCTCGTGGGCCCGAGGCACAGCCAAGCTAACAAGGTTGGTGTCCCAACTCCCCCATACTTGGTTGGTTCATTTCACTCGTATGCAGGAGAAGCAGCGCCTTGGCCCAGTGGATTCCACGGATGCCCGGGTGAATTCACCGGGGTCACTGGTCACTGGATTTCCCCGTAAAAGGTTGCAGTTTCTTGGCGGTTACCATTGAAACTGCCACGTTGGGAGGTTCCAGAAGGGAAGTGGAGGAAACCCGCTTTTTTCAACGTGCTAAACGCCTCTTGGGAAGTCAAGCGTTCCATGTTTGGAACTACGCTGCCAACAAACATGGGGGGTGGTTGCACTGACCCCGTTTTTCGAGCACTACTTTCCTTTCGGAGCGGGGATTCACGCCACCACACTAGGGGAAGCAAGAATGGACGCCATCATGTGTTTGTGGGAGGCTATGTTGGAACTTTCAGTGCTGTCGGGTTCATTATTCGCCACAGAGACGGGCGGTCGGTGGGTGTGGATACCCTTCATTTTTTTGCATAGCGGGTGCCACTGGAGGCTTTTGTGCAACTCCCTGCAGCTGGTGCGCATCCAGAAGTATGCGCTTGGCAAGGATGGCTCGAGCGACTCCAAGGCAGGGGTGAGAGCTGGGTGCAGTCAGATTGCATAAAAAAGATGTTCACGGAAGACATTCACACGAAATGGCTTGTCCCTGGTTCTTGTGGAGGCTAAATGGGAAGCCAACTTCCCTAACCACCAAACCACCGGGCTTCAAACCAACTAGAGGAAGGCGGATTTCTGTTGAAGCAGCCCATCATTTCGTGTTTCGGAGTTTGTCAATGTCTCAACCATCACTCAGACGCTTGCGGTCGAACGGATCTCGCCGTTTCTTTCCCCTTATGTTTTTGAGTACGCTTGAAGTACCTTGCGGTGGATCCACAAAAGCCGACACGCCAGAGCTATGCTGTGCTTGAAACCTTTGCTTGCAGTCGCCAGTTGCAGGTTCAAAGCCAGGTTTCCCTCAAACTCACTTGCTTCACTGCGGTAGTGATCCCGCCTGGCTTGGACACATTTATCGGTGTCCTTTTTAGATTAGCTTGGTTAGAAATAGATGGCACTGAGTTAAATGCGTTTCATTCTATTTACCAAGGCCATCTATTGTCCAATTGGACACCTATGCTTTCAAGTGTCAGAAGGTACTTTGACCATGACTCGAGTTGCTGGGAATAAGGCTGTCCCAGAGAAAGGTTGAGGAGGCAGGTGACCTTTCAGGGGCTGCAGACAAAGCTGAAGCCGATGAAAACGTCAGGTCTTCGGCGCCGTGTCCTTCAAGAGTCCGCTTCTGCCAGCCATCTCTTCAGTCCTTTGCGACGACATCGGGCGGAACTTGGGGCTTTGGGTGAGCCGAATCGAAGAGGCGAGGACTAGGAGGAAAGGAAGCGTCAACTCCAAGATGGTCTCAAATCAACGGTGGCAAGAGCGATTATTTGCTGGGTCCTTCCCTGAGAGGGCTGCCCCTAAACCATAGCCCTCACCAAAAATAGAGCGGTGTCCATTTATTAACAACCCCAAGCAAGGAAACGGGGCCCCCATCAAAACGCACAACAAGAAGCCAAAGCAAAGAGATTCAGGGGTCCCCCGTTAAGTTCCTTCAAAAGTTGCACTTTTCGTGGAAAATCTACCACTTAGTTGCAACTTTTCGGGAAATCCAGTGACCCCTGAGATTGGTACGCAGGTTGGGCTTTTTTTGGCGAGGTCATCGACAAGCTGGCGAGCGAGCCCTTTGAGGACGACTCGGACACGGACCTCAGGGGGCGCGACACCATCTTCTACGCGACGGAGGACTTGGGCTATCCCCAGGTCGACTGGGTGTACTCAAAAGAGAATCCCTTCCACCTGAACCAAAAAATCTAGGAGGTCCGCATCAAAAGGGCCCCTTTTTCCGTTCCACTTGGTCTTTGTTGGGGGAGTAAGCGGAAAACTCGGGTAATGGTCATCGGGGATGTTTTCATGACTTTCAGTTTAGGGGCGGGGATGCCGGGTTCCTGAGCCTCTTCCCTGGGCCATTTGATTCTAGTTTGCTCACTTGCCCAAGGCGAATCGACCCTTTTTCTACCTTTTGGGTGTCCCACGTTGGTCAATGTTTAGAATAGGCCCCAAAAGGCTAACTTTGTATTTCCAGGTCCTTTGGGCAAGTGAGTTTTGGAACTACAGCAATTCGTGCAGCGAGAGAATGTTTGGTTTGCTATAAGGGCCTGAATAATTAGAATGGGGTGGCAAAGTACTTGAATAACGAAAAAAAGGCTGCATCCGCCCCTTTCAATTGAGAGTGGCCTGGCGGGGATGTGTTTTTGGATGGAAGAATCATCAGAGAGATTTCGTTTTTTGAAGACACAAGGCGTCAAGGAGGCTTGTTAAGAATGGGAAGACCACACCAGGTCCCCCAGCTAGGTGCCCTTTTAACATGTTTTTTTGGGGAGGGTTCCCTACTAAAATAGACCCTAGCACAGTGGTTCAAACATGTCTAAACAGGGGTTGGCCTTTTCTATTTAGACACCTCACTTGTCCAAGGCGAATCGACCTCTTGACCTTTTGTTTTTCTCCTTTTGTTCTATTTGTCAAGGTTCCAAAACGTCAACCCTTTATCTCAGATCTTCTCACCTTTTGATCCGGTCCTTTTTTTGTCATTGCCGCAAGAGAATGTTAAACCTTTATTTCCAGGTCCTCTGCGGCAACTGCGTTTATTTTCAGTTCCCCCTTGTTGGTCAAAGTGCGCCGCGCCTCGTTCCGGAGGATGTGGCCACGGTGAAGGAGGCTCTCTGGCGCCGCTTCGAAGTGGCCATCCAGGAAGTGCAGGCGGCGCATCCCAGGAAGTTCCCAAGCAACGAGGAGGTGAAGCGCCTTGGAAGCCAGGGGTGTTTTATGCATGGTCCACTGCTTGCTGCGAATCGAGCCTGGGAGTTTTCAGTTTCCGCTGATTTGGCAAGCAGGCTTAGTCTATTAGTGGGCCAAAGGGTGAGCCTTTTATTTCCAGGGCCTTTGGGTAAGTAAGGATGGGATTTGGAGGTATGAACGCGCTCGTAACTCGTCAAACCCCTCCATACCTGCAAAAACTTTCCTGGAAGATCACTTGTCCTGCTGTTATCCGGGCAGCCGAAAGCCCTTGGTTTTGTTGGGTGTTTGGCTTCCTCCTTCCCGCGTTGGGGATTCCAAGGCGGCTGTAGAATGTATAGCCTTCTTGCGCAGACAGCCCCTCTTTCCCCAGAAATCATGGGAATCGACCCCTTTGACTGGTGACCTTCCGCTTTCGGTCTAGCTTGAGCAAAAGACCTTCCAGGTCAGGCAATGATTTTCTCCTGAGTGTTTAACCCTTTGGAAAGGCCAATTTTACGCGAGCTTCCTTTTGGTGGGATGGTGTTTGAGGGTAGTAAATTGGGCCCAAAGTCAGCAACCTGACTTCGGGTGGGGTTGTATCACAAAGTTGTAAAGCGTGCATTGGCAACCCCCCCCCCCCCCCCCAATTTAGGTTGACATTCATCACGCAAAACCAAACGCTGCGTTTTCCTAGTGTGGGTGTTTTAGACGCCACCTCTTTCAGAGTCTACACTTCCAAGACATGGTGTGGTGCACCGAGCCTTTTTGGAAAAGGAATTCAGACTCCCACTTTTGCCTACTTCCTTGCAGATTAACACGGAAACCCAATTCATAAAGAAATCTCCTTTGGACCTTCTATGCCAAATATCAAAGGGTGACCCCGAGAGCACCATCAAAAAATGCTACATGCTCGGTCACTTGTTGGTTCGTAAGGAAGTCAGCAGACCCCAGCAGACCCAAGGCTGGCCGCCTCCGTCATGCTGGGCATCAGCCAGCTGCTGGACAATCTGAGCAACATGAAGAGGCACGGCTTGCCTCGGGATGTGGGGGCATAGGGCCGGGATTTCCCCTTTTCGGCCGTGAGTTTTCATGGTTGGGTTGATTCGGTTGTTGCAGGGTCCGAAGAGTTTCCTTCTTGTAGAAAAGATTTGCGAACCGCAATGGCCCCCTCTTATTACCCTGGTGTGGGGCCTTAAACATCATGTTTGGAAAGGCCAGTTTAAAAAGAGTCTACGGGTGATATTTGCACAGCGCATATGCCTCTCAGGGATCCATATGTTCAAATTACACAAGTGTTGGTTGCTTCCTTTGTCCAATGCCTTTCTTTCAGTCAAACCTAGATCCACCCCTTCTGGAAGGATTGAACATTTGCGTGCCTGCTGAATGCCATTTGAGTTTTGTGGGGCGAAAGGGGCCAGTCAGCAGCTGGTAGTAAGGGACTCCCCCACACCCTCTTCATTCTCAAGGGAGGGGGGGTTGAGTTGCATATTCTGCGGACACTTCTGAAGCTGTAGCTGAGCACTGGGTGGGGTTGCGCTGACACCATTATCAATACTCTGGATTATTTTGCGATGTTTTGTTCTTCAATGAGTGTTCTTGCGTTGAAGTGAAAAAGAGAACGACGCCGGGAGCATTCCCCCAACCCAGGTGGATTGATTGACCTGTTTGTCGCAACGAAGGGACAAACAGAGAAAGATTTCAACAATGAAGCAGACAAACAAAGAAACTCATGAACAAAGAAACACACAAACCAGTGGCCGTTGGGCATTGGGTTTCCTGCCTCGCTGCCTCTCGGCATAGGCCGCTTATCCTGGCAGAGTCCACGTTGAGGATCGCCAGCACGCACCGGCCCACCCTCTTTGTGGCCACTTGAAGGCGGATCGTTTTTAGGATTTGGACCTATCCGCCGACATTGTTCGGCGTGTCGGATACTTACTAGAGGATACAGGATAACCCCCCTATTTGACACATGCCCAAATAGACCAAAATGGTTCGCATGTTTTGCGAGAAGCACCTCGAGCGAACGCCATGTCGCAAGTCAACAGTTCACCGACTTGAGGCTTTGGAGCTCAGTCAGACACCCCCCCGGGTGGATTCTTGGGATCATGTCATGCCAGACGGGTAGAGCCCGCAGGCCGCATGCGAAAGCTCCATGCCCAACAGGGGATCCTAGGCGTGGATCTTAAACCAAGGAATGCCTCTTGATCCTACTGTAGTGCCTAGTTCGACTGCAGGGTCCCTCAGAGCAACAATACTTTTTTACCAGTTGATTTGGGGGACCCATTGAAAAGGTATGTGGTTTTTGGAGGCATCCATAAAGGAACCCCTGCTTTTGGGCCGCTTTTGAAGGGAATTCCGCGCTCAGCTTTGGTAGCGAATTGCAGGTGCCAGGGCGCTTCGTCGAGGTCGGGCAAGGTCGGAAAATGACCGGTGTGGCGTTCGATTCGGCGCGCGCGCGCTCACTGCACGGGATTTGCTCGACAAAATGTTCAGCTGACCTGAGACTTGATCCATAAATTCCAACTGTTTGAGCATTTTCCGCTAACTGCTTTAGTGGCAACCCGTCCGGCTTATTTTCGGCTGGTCCCAGTTGCAAGCCAGTCTGTAGCTTCATTTGATTGCTGGATGCCAAAGAAGGAGACAGCATGCTTACATCCACACCTCATGGGATTGATCCGACCTCCTTGGGATGACGCAGACGCTGGCTACAACTTCTCAGAGGACTTGCCTCAAAGTTGTTTCCTTTGTCATGTTTCCAGATGCTCCGAGCCCGCAAACATAGAGCAGAAGCCAAGGGTGGACAAATTGTTTGGCATCCTTTTGTTTCACCTTCGTGCCAGGGTCTTAGGGAGTAACATGTGTTCGGCTTTCGTTTTGTATGCAGAGCTCCCAATGTTCCACAGTCGGTGAAATCACATGGGAGGCCAGAGTGAGCGTCTTTTGGAGCGATGTTCTCAGTCCAAAGCGAATGGTTCTGGGATCTTGGGGTTTGACACATTTTCCCCCGAACTGCACTCCTTCACATGGAGCTAGAGGGATGCTCAAGCAGCTCCCTTGACATGGCAACACCAGTTCCGTAAGGAACATCACAAACCAGCTCCCGGCTTCGGTTGGGAACCCCTGTCAAGTCCCTTTGAAAGCGAGAACAAACAATGCACAGTCATAGTTTGTACGGTAAAACCAGGGGGGAAGCTTTCTTTGAACGACTGGAGTAACTAGGTCCCCCAGTAGTGCCCTTTTACCCTTTGGTTCCCCTAAAATCGACTAGAGCAAACAATCGGGTACCCTTATTCTAGCCACTGGAGACTGGAGGACCTAGGTAAAGGCAAGGGGCCGGATGCCAAGTACCTCGGGGTTGCAGGTAACCACTTCGCCTCTTGAGGCTTCCGGCTCGGCGAGCTCAGCCCTAGCTGCTGTCAAGGACCTTTGTGCCACTCGCCAAAAAGAGCTCTCGGGTGGACCGGACTCGACGGGCCCTACGGGTTCCCAACGCAAAATGTCGCATCCGACAAAGGAACCCAGTTCTTGGGCCACCCAAACGGGTGGCCCGCAGATCCCAGCCCCTTTGCGAAACCAGTTGCTTCCGAGCAAAATGGGCAACATCAATCTGGGTTGTTCGACGCCCATCCGGGGTTTCCCGCTACGGGTTACCGAGGACTATGGATCCCCGCAATGTGGGTCGGAAATCTAGGAACGTTTCGCTTTGTAAACTGCACTGCTTCTTTCCTTGCAAAACGGAGAGTCTCGTCTAAAATGAAGTGGGCCTATCCACCCAGCAACAGGAAAAGATACCACCCGTTGGCTCTCCTTGTTGCACAACCAGAAACCCGGGGCACCTCGTGAGAGCCTTGTGAGGACAGTTTCTGCTTGTTATCCGAAAATACGCCTCCAGGCAACATTGATTGGTTCACAAATGCCGGGTTTGCAATCTCGAAAGCTGGCAGAGCTTTTAGGTTTGTTCTACAAGCAAGCTGCATGGTGTCAAAGGTGTGACGCTGCCCCTTCCCAATCCGCATCAAATGGAGTGCCACGATACGTGTGCGGCTGCAACATTCGGAGGGGCGCGGCAGGGGTTCAACCCGGGCTGGAATTGGTTGCCATCCCAGAGAATCCACGTAGGCAAATATGGCATACATTGAAATGCAGCCATTTTTTGGGTACATTGGTACGTAGCCAAAAAATGACGACATTGTCGGAATTTGTCGGAGCTCCCGTCGGACAGTCAAAATATAACCCAAGAATGGCATCGTTTGGAAACGCCCCCGTCGGACAGTCAAAATCCCGTCCAGAAGTGACCACGTTTGTCAGTCCAAATCACCATCGCACAAGGTCAAATAGTCTTTCTTACCAGCCTGCACACTTAGCCGCAAACATACCGCACAGAGCCCCCTTTGCTACACAAGTCTGTTTCGTTTGAGCCGTATTCGTCGCAGTGTTGACATAACTGTTGATAGGTAATGGCATACCGACGTGATACTGGCTCAAGTAAAACAAGCTGCCGCCTGTGCTGAGTTTTAGGTAGATCCCACCTTTCAACAGGTTATCAGCCGTATCGCTGGTACCTTGTACAGTCAGCTCTCACCCGCGCCGCAATGGCGTCAAGCGGCGACGGATGCCACCCTGCCATAGCAAGGATGAACGAAGCAGTGGCCAACGAATTGATCAAGGGTGGGCATCCGGAAGGGAAACCGCCATGCAATCCGTCACAGCGCTCCCGAAGCAGTTTTCCTGAGTCCGACCAAGGTGATGCGCTTGTGCCCATCACTTCGGTCGTCCTTCCGGAGGATTCAATGGGAAGCGGAGGGGAACCTCTCGCCGGACATCAACCTGGGCAAGAGATGCACGCGCACATGACTAAGAATGAGACTCACCTTCATCAACATCATGTGAGCGCCCCGAACATATATCAACATAGCCAGACGGTAAATGTGGTCAACACAGGTCCGAGTACGGAGGATGTGGCTGCCTATGCTTCGGCACGCCACGACGCCATCATCAATCAGCTCCAAGCAGGCCATGTTGAGGAAAAAGGCCGACTCTATCAGGACGCGGTGAACCACATCAATGTATGCCAACAAGAGGCAATGGCGAAGGAAAGAGAGTTCAACGAGGCAAGGCAGCAGTGGGTTGCTCAACGCTCAGAAGCTGAACAGAAGTATGAACGGCTCAAATTGATTTGGGAGGTCACCCACAACAAGCAGAAGGAGGAAGCGGACAGGAATGCTGCTGAGATGAGAGAGATTATCATGAAGCAGTCAAGGGACATTGAGGCACTACGTCATGAACTGAAATCTCGCAGTGAGCAGAGTAGTTCTTCTAATGTTCCAATTTTCGGTTTGAGGCCAAAGGCCTCTCCTGTACAGACGTTTCCTCCTCCCGGCTTGGACCTTAGTTCTAAGGTACGTATCAGGTCAGCTTCCACCGAGCTCCGCCGTGATGGGCCAGGTGCCGCCGATGATCTTGACGGGGATGCCGATGGATACGATCCAACATCTCCGGCACAGGACCCCAACGATGGTGGTGGAGATCCATCAGGCGCAGGAAATGGCCAGAGCGGAGGCGGTGGGGAACCACCTGCCGGAAACCCCGATGATGACGATGATCATGACGACGACGATGACGATGGGAATGGCGATGGGAAGAAGAGCAAGAAGGATAAGAAGAAGAAGAAGAAGGATAAAAAGAAGAAGAGCAAGAAGGACAAGAAGAAGAAGAAGAAGAGCCACAAGAAGCGAAAGAGTGGGTCTCCTTCCGACTCTCCAAGCTCTTCATCATCCAGCTCCTCAACATCATCATCTCATCATCATCATCGGAGAAGGCACGAGTGATCCGCAAGAAGCTCAACAAGATCTTGGGTAAGCAGGCGAGCGCAGTGGACGCAGACCATGACAAGCCCAAGGTCAAGGAGGCGGAGAGGATTATCATTCCCTCCTTCCCACTTCCTGAGAGTTACAGGAATTGGCGCATCAAGGTGCGGGAAGCCGTATGTGCGGCATCCGATCGCCCCGATGACGCTTTCACGTGGATCAGCAGAGTGTGGGAGCCCGCCGTTACAATCGAGGAGCTCAAAGAACCCGGTACTTTCCTCACCTTGGACGCCAAGTTGCTGTCCGCCCTCACCAACATCATTCAGGGTGACCTGGCGAGACAAGTTGACACCTTCAAGGAGGTAGAGGCGCAGAAGAGGAATCCAGTTCGTGGGAGACAAGTGCTTCTCATGGTGCATGAGCACCTGAGCACGAACATCAAGCACGGAGCCACCTATGCCATGGAAGATCTCCTCAACGTGAGGCTCGTGAACGATAACCTCACTTCCTTCATGCGTAGCTGGGAGGGTGTTCTTGCAGGAATGAATGCCAAGACACCAGATGACTCCATGCTTGAGGCTCTGTTCTACAACCAGCTGAAGAAGAGCAAGCAAATGCAACACCATTTGAATGTCTATTTGAGCGCCTCGGAAGAGTCCGCCGATCACTCATACACCTACTTGATCGAATCTGTGAGGCAATACCTGTCTCGAGCAAGGCTCGAGCGCAACCGAGAACGGGTTGCTAGGCAGAACGGGGGTAGGCCAGCCGCACCCGCCGCTGAGAGCCAACGTGTGCCTAAGGGGTTTTGCATTGCATTTGTCAAGTATGGATCGTGTCGGCGGGACAATTGCACGTACAAGCATGAACAGCCATCGGGCGATGCCAGGGGTAGGACCCCATCAAGAGACGCTAAGCCTAAAAAGGGTAAGGGTAAAGGCCGAACAAATAGCCCAAAGGGAAAGAAAGAGTGCCGTTTCTACCCTAAGGGGAGGTGTGACCGTGGTGAAAACTGCCCGTTTGCTCACATCGACCCGAAGCCGGCCGTTCCAGGGTCAAGGGAGCC